GCTGCTTATACTGAATAATCTATACAAGATACCCCTACACCAAGATCACAAAGAAAAAATCAGTCTGTCCAGCCTCATTACAACAACCCAACCGGTAAACAAACATAAGCAGGACGAAAAATATGAAAAAGAATTTGATCAATTTCTCGGAGATAAAAAAGAGAGAAGTGAACAGCTTCCTAGAAGAAGAAATCCAAGAAGAAATCAGACACAGAAACCAGCTGCAAAGCAATGCCACCTACCACCATGGTGTTCGGGGTAACACGAAGCTACAAAACAAAGAAAGCTGTCTACAAATCCTACAGAACCATGCTCCCTAGGAGGAAAGCAGAGAGCACAATCGGGCAATTATAAACCACGACAGAAACTCAACTGTGTTCCTTTTTGTAAGAGAGACAATGCAGACAAAACCCACACCATATGTATATATAAATGTTTGATAGCACTGAGGGGAAGCATAAAAGAGCAACCCTTCAAAACTTCCTAAACAAGGATGGGAACTGAAAAAAGAATGGGAAATATTCAAACAGATGCTGTATTTTATGTTCAAAGACACAGGAGTGGAAGTCAGCATCCAGAGAGTTAAACCAAACTTCCGGAAGATAGAGTCAAACATTGAAGATGAAATTCAGCCTCTAATGCAAATAGTCACGGACACCCAAGAAAAATCACATAAAATAGGAGCCAAAAAGAACTACACGATAACACAGAATGAGATAAAGACAATAGAATTAGAAATCATGGGCAACACCGGCAACCTAAACGAGACAGTGGGCTACAAATGTAAATACAATCTAAATTGGCTATAATGACGTTCTGCCAAATCAAAAAAGCACATGGGAAAGACAAATTTCACAGAACATAAAGTAGAAGTAAGAGAAGCAAGTCAAATAAGAAGCCATCCTTACAGAGTATCCCAGAAAAAAAGGCAAATAATCGACGAGCGAATAAAATAAATGCTAGACAGCAATGTGATAAGGCCATGTCATTCACCGTGGGCTAGTCCGGTGGTCCTAGTGAAGAAAAAAGATGGGAAAATCCGTTTTTGTGTCGACTACCGAAAAGTTATTGCCGTAACAACCCTCTACCACAAATCCACGATATTCTGTCATATCTTGGAAATGCATCTTATTTCAGCAGTCTAGATACTGGCAGGTACCTGTCGAAGAAAGCTCCAAACAGTACGCCGCATTTGTAGCACATGGTCACGGAGCCTACGAATTTAATGTTCTCAGCTTTGAATCACCTATGTAATGCTCCCGCAACCCTTCAAGAATTAGCTGACCAAGTTTTTTGGGACAAGAAATGGAAGGATGAAGTATTGATTTATTTGGACGACATAATAATATTCTTCCAAACGTTCAAAGAGCACTTGGCAAAATTAGGAAAAGTTTTGGAAAGATTACGATAAGCATAGAACTCTAAAACCAAGCAAATGCGAGTACCTACGAAAAGAAATAAAAATCCTGGGTTTTAATGTGAACGAAAAGGGCATACTACCAGACGAAGATAAACTGTTATGCATAAGGAACTTCCCAACTCCAAAGAAATTTAAAGATGTGCAAAGCTTTCTAGGATTATGAGATTTCTATAGAAAGTTCATAGGAAACTCGCAGCAATATCAAGACCATTACATGACGTACCTAACAAAGAAGAACATTAGGGTTCCAATTGGGCATAAACCAGGAGGAAGCTTCCAATACTCTTGAGGAAAAACTTATATTAGCACCAGTACTAAAGCATTTTGACCCAAATAAAAATACTATTCTACACACAGATGCAGCAACACGAGGAATTGGGACAGTGCTATTGCAAGAGGACGATGAAAGGAGATGCACATCCAATAGCCTATATAAGTCGAAGTCTATCAAATAGCGAGAAAAATCATTCAATCAATAAGCGAGTTAGAGCTATTAGGTGTAGTATGGGCCCTAAGCTATCTAAGACATTTATCTACGGTAGACCAGTGAAAATTATACCAGACCACCACGCACTATGTTGGATTGATTCTATCAAGGAAAGCAACATACGTCTAGCCAGTGGGAATTGAAGTTGGCAGAGTTCGAGTACACGGTTGAATACAAAAAAGCCTCAACCTACAAAGATGCTGAATGCATGTTCCGCAACTCAGTCTTGCAACTCGATTCATAGAAAAGCGAAGAACAAGATGAACTACCAACATTTGCGATAAGAACAATGGAAATGAGTTCATTACAGAAAAGAGACCCAGAGTTGAGACAGATCAGGAAGGCAGTAGACAACCTGGACGATTCAAATATTAACATCGGAGCTAGGCGAAGAGCGAAAAATTTAAGAATCGAGAATGATCTTCTATACAAAGTAAATAAAACACAAAAAGGCCTCAGCAAGGTAGGTATACCTACTGGTGGTACCAAAATCAATGGGCGAGGAGATTCCTTTAGACCTACGCACCACACAAAACCGTCGTTTTCAAACTTCGTAGCCCACACACTTCAGATTTGTTGGCATATCGAACATTTCCGATAGACAAAATCAGGCGAAGCCAGGTAATTGCATCGGTTTTAAGCAAAAACGACAATTTTTCGCACACACACTTCGGTTTTGCGTCGTTTTTGCTCGACTAGATTTGCTCGTCGAACAAATCCGTCCAACAAAAACGCAGTCTGTGGGGCTTTTTAGGGTTGAACAAAATAACAGACAAAATACAGAACAGTTTCTTCTGGGACGGAATGCTAAAAGACATGGAGAAATACATTAAAGGGTGTCCAGATTGTCAGGCGAGGAAGAGCCAACCATACAGAAAGACCCCGGGCCTCTTACAACCAATACAATACAAGTACAAGTAGGCACAATTTTTGACAAAATTGGCATTGATTTACTAGGTCCGTTTAGAAGAAGGAACCAAAGAAAAACGATGATAGTAGTAGTCACAGACTATGCATCAAAATACGCCATCACAGCAGCAATGCCTAATGGAAAAGCAGAACCAGTAGCGAAATTTTTACTAGAGAAAGTATTTCTGATACACGGGATGCCACGACACGTACTGTGTGATAGAGGAAAAGTCTTTCAGGCAGAGCTAGTGCGGGAAATAGAAAATATAATGGAAGTAAGGAGAGAGTTTACGACGGCATATAAACCATGCTGTAACGGCCTAACAGAAAGATTGAATAAAACTTTAGCAGATATGTTATCGATGTACTGCAACACACAACAGACAGACTGTTGCAGCTACCTAACATTTATTACATTTGCATACAACACAGCCACGCAGGACACAACTCGATTCGGTCCGTTTATGCTAACTTTCGCAAAAGAACCCATACAACCTGCAGGTCAACTCTTATGGACGCTAAGGAAGGAAGAAACTCACTCCAGATCAGGGAAAAGGCACTCTCGAGAGCTTAGCGGTGAAAAATATAAATGAGAGGCAAGGAAAAGATAGGGAGCGATTCGACGAGAGAATTAAATTTTTAGGTAGCACACAAAGTGAAAGTATTTATCCTAATAAGAAAGGTTGGACGCAGTGAGAAGCTGCTTTTGAGATGGTTTGGACCATATAAAATTATTAAGGAAATGGGAGAAGTAAATTATGAGGTAAAAAAATTGGAAGCAAAAAGAAGAATAGAGATACTGTCCACGTAAGTAGGATGTTGCCTTACAACGACAGTGCGTCTGAAGTAGAATCCGATAGTGATGAAGAAACAAGTTAGAACATTAAGAAGCAGAAGTCGCAGTGGAGTTTGGAGTCTCCGTTTGGAGTCATTAGTATGTTCCCAATAAACGGAAACGACAACGGACTACAGCGATCGCGAGCTATCAGAAGGAAAAAATATGGATAAGAATTGGAGACTGCGTACGCAACAAGAAAAAAAAAAGCAGAAGCCTAAATTTAAGATAGTTAAGAAATAGGATAGAAAATATAGTTCAGGAGTAAAAACGAAAGGAAAAGAATTACCAGATTTGGTTTCCTTGCAGGTTACTGGTGCGACTGGAACCAGAAACAGCACTTTTTAATTATGAACTTTTTTTTAAAAATTTTTCATGTAAGCAAATAAAAACGACCAGTCAGGGACGGACCAAACCAATGAACAAGAATAGGGGCAATAGTTTCTGAACCCACTGCAGTAATAGGCATAATGGCATTATGAACAAATAAAACGAATCAAAGTATTACATGATATTTTTAGATTTAAGTATTTTTTATTATGGAATTTATGATGGTGTCTCTTCTATAGCATTGGGGTCCAATGCTTTTCAGAGGGGGAGCATATGTCAACAAGATAAGCTACTTTGCTACTTAGGAAAATATCACACTGTATATGACTGACCGACTTATTGATTGCCGAGTCAGCGATAAACGAATATAAATAGTGGACAGCAACACACGGATAGGCAGACTTGAACCAGTACAATTACCGCTTTTGGGAAAGCTCCTCTGGGTGTCTTCAGTTTTCGTGTCATCCAGTGCAATTACTTCTTTTGGGAAAGCCCCTTTACTCTAGCGACTCGCACCTAATGTCACTACCCCTGTAGAAGAGGCACTGTGTACCATAGGGTAATTACTATTATAACCTTTACTCTACAATATACCTTGAACTAAATACCAAGCGAGTCTCTATCCTCCTGACCCTACGATACATACCTTGTCACGACAGGATAAAGTTGTGACAATAGTTCTTGAAATACAATGTAGTATTTGTTCTCGACAGTCTGGCAATAGCAACCTTTTTCCCTAGTAAATCTAAATAGAACTACCTTTCTGAATCTTTCGACATTTCTAATTTCAGCTGAAAGTTTCAACACCCTTATACCCTTGAAATAGGGTTCCTCTCCTAAGAAGCAGACAAATGAAAAGTTGTTTTTTACGGTTGAAAGCCTCCAGAAAGTCAATGTCCCGACACTGTTGAAGCTGGGAAAATATCCACACTTGTTAAATCAAATTGGCTAATTCTTGACTTGGTCAAGATACGCGAGGCACAACTCTGTGCATTAAATCCAATAAAAAAATTCAAAAAGGTGCTTAAAAGTTTGTTATAATTATTACTTTTTACAAAAGTAATTTACATTACAAGTCTTGGAAGTGACTTATTAAAGTAAAAGTTAAGATGCTTATTGACAAGGCCATAAGCCGAGTTTAGAATTTCCTAAGAAGTACTTTGATAATAACTTGACGGTGTATTATACAATATTTTATTCCATTCTGTTATTTATACTTATTTTATACTGTTATATGGATTTTTTGTTAAATATTTAGAATAGAACATTATTTTTGAAAACCTCTGTAATTTCACAGCAATGTTAATGTTACTTCACCAGACTAGTGATGTAATACGCTATTTTCAGGACAGAAATTAATGACACAAATACCGGACAGTATGAAATAAATAAAAATAATAAAAACGAAATTTATTTTCATATAAAAATATACAAGTGTGAAGTAAGTAGAAATAAAAAAATTATTCAAAAAATACTTAACTAATAGGCTCCTTGTAGTGCCTTACCAACATCCACCATAACTTAAAAGGTACACAACAGATTTGATTTCTTAACGACAATAAATAATAAGTAAAGCTTTATAAACAAAACCTAACAGTATATTGTATGAATAATTATTTACAGACTTATCTTCCTAATAACTAACCGTCTTTTTAGAAATTTTGGGTCAAACGTGTCTCTCATTGTAATGGGCTTTCTAACAAATTATTTCTATAAAATGTACTATTTTTTCTATCGTTAAAATAAATATAGAAAACAGCCCTCTGCTAGAATCTTCTTTTTTAGCCTATTTTAAAAAAAATTGTGAAAAACCCCTGAATCTTTAACTTTATATTCTTTAGCCGCATTCTAACATTACCAATAAAACATCTTGAACGAGCCACATTTTCAACTCAAATGTTTAACTAATAAGACAAGTGTTTGTACATAAACATTTACAAAACTCGGTACAAGCTCACCAAATAAAATTTTAATTATCTTTTCATGGTTTAGTCTAAAATAACTAGTATTACATCAAATGTCTCTAGTGTAAATTCAAATCATAAAAAAAAAACGTTTTTTTTTTTTATATCTAATAAAAATGACATTACCTAATAATTACATTTACAGTTTACTGTGAGACCAATAGTAAACTAAACCTCCAGAGAAAACCGCATAAAATATGTACTTATATGAAAATCCAAATTTTAAAAGTCTACAGTATCATTGACGTATACAATTAGTTCCCAAATCTTCTCAAAATATTGCAACTAAAATTAAATGTTCTAGCTAGCTGCGCCTATTATCGTTCATCTATATCAATTTCCATTTTGATATGCGAAGTGAGATCGCTCAGAGAATTATTGTCCCCTAAAGGATCTTCTTCTTCCTCCACTTCTTCATCTTGATCCTCAATATTTTCCACATTTGCTATAATATTATACTGAGGAATAATACTTTCAAGGTCTTCTGAATCATCAGCTACAATATGCAATTGAAATGTCATACACAATTTTGTTGTTATATACTTTACCTTCATTATTTTCAATTTCATAGGATTCATTTTCTCCTTCAGCTGAATCCTCCAAGGGATTCATACAGCTTGCATCAGTTTCGTTCAAGTCTCTCAATAGCCTTGATGCGGTCATCGTTTCCTCTTGATCATTTTCAAATACCGGTTCAAACATGTCATCTTCAAGAGAAGTATCTAAAATCAGGTAATATTGTTATTTTATATATTGTCTAGAAGAAGGATATACTTTTTTGTAAGTTTTTTAAGTCAATGAGGAGAGATAAGGTTAAACTAGGAAGAATCAAACTGAGATTGACTGAATGTAGTATTTTTCAACAAGTTACATAATAGTGTATGAGATGCCAAATACTGAAAATTTGAAGCATACTGTAACATTGAGTGCAGTCAGAATTAACAGCCTTGTGACTAAGAAAGGATCTAATGGAACAATGCAATCACATACTAATTAATGTAAATAATGCCATTCAAAAAAGTGACTTTAGGCAATCAAATTCCACAAAAATTTGATAGAGTTGTTTTGTGAAACAAAAAAATTGAGGAGGGCTTGGTATTTTCAATATTAATAAAATATATGTTTTTACTTTACATTTTAGATAGAAGACTTCAAAGCAGTGGTGAATGCTGAATAGCGCTTTATATACCAAAATATCACTTACTTATGTATATTTTTCCACGTCCTCTACCTCTTCCAGATCTCCTACCCCTAAACAAACCCCCTCTCATATTTTTCAGTCTTGTCAAGTCAGCCAAAATTCTCCTTCTAGCATTAATAAACCAATTTTCCACTTGCAACAACGACAAATTGGTTTCCTTCATCAACTGTTGCTTCTCCACATCTGTAGGATACGGATGGTCTGTGTGGTTGAACAACCACCTTTTCAAATGGTTCTTGGCTTTTGTCGGCAAATGCGGTCGTTTGGTTAAAACAGTCTGTGACGATTGTGATGATGGCGGAGTCCCTGGCGAGCCTCTGGCTTTTTGACATAGCTGATTGTGCTTTCGCAAATTTTGCAACGTTTTGAACGGGATATTGCAAAAGTTGCACAGATAATCTTCTTCGTGGACTTTGGTTTTGTGGCTGTGTAAGGCCGGTACGTTGGTGAATTTTCTACTACAGTGGTTGCAGGAGAACAGGCCGTGTTCGTCCTTTTCTATTGGAGTATAGGAAATGGATTGTTCTTGTTTGATGGCTGATTTTTTACCTAATGGAAAAAAATTTACAGATAGTTGATTTCCAAACAGAGTGAAAGCAATAAGGCCACTCCCACATGTTAAAAATATGGCAAATTAAATAAATAAAAATAGCAAATATAAACAAATAATCATGTGACTCTCATTGGCTAAAGCCAACAATACTCATGGGCTGGTTGTCACATCTCACATTAGAAATGGGAAATTTCTATTTTGATTTAACCTACTGTTACCATAGATGCCACGTGTTTGCTCTTATAAAGAACTCTGTGATCTACAAAAGTGTTAAGATCTTTAATGAACTGCCTACTGAAATAAAGAATACAGAACTATTCTGCATTTTCTAGTTTGTTTTATAGATTTTATTTCAACAAATTGGTAGTTACTGTTTACTATGGAAGCATAGTATTTGTTTATGTATGAGGCAGCAAGAAAGCTGTAGGCCTATTTTTCTAGAACATCAAATATTGACTGTGATGAGAATGTATATATTGGATACTGTGTTATTTTTTTTATGATAATAGAGATCTTTTTTCTGATTGTGATTTGAAACACTACTATAATACTCGCAACAAAAATAGTCTGGTACCTGAAAAGTGCAATTTTGCTTACCTACAAAAAATGTTAAACACTGCGCTATGCAAATTGAGAGAAGATAATTCATTGCCAGAGAGTTTGTCAAGAAGTGAACTTAAATTCGTTGTGTATATAAATACCTAATTAATAAAGCATTTTATTTCCTACTGAACTGACAATCTCTGGAAATTTCCGCTTATTTGGACTTATAGTTCCAGAAATAAAAACGCGTTAAGCAATTTGGGGTAAATTTATCAATTTTTCAATTTTCTGCGTGCCTTTTTTCATAGATTTCAGCTTCAAATCTCAGAATAATTCAGTGCATGGAGTTTGGGGGATCCCCAATGATCATTTAGACACAAAAGCTCAACATAAAAAAATTTGAAATTTCATTATTTCAGTACTGTAGCTGCCTTACGATTTGGATTTTTAAAAACTTTGAAGTCCTATAACTTTTTTTCTATTACAGATAGAAAGCTGAAATTTTCAGCAATTCTTATCCCAGTAGAGGACTACAATCCCTGAAAATTTCAGCCTATTTGGACCTATAGGTCCAGAAATAAAAGCGCGTTAAGCAATTTGGGGTAAATTTATCAATTTTTCAATTTTCTGAGTGCTTTTTTTCAAAGATTTTGGCTTCAAATCTCAGAATAATTTAGTGTATGAAGTTTGGGGGGTCCCCAATGATCATTTAGACACAAAATTTCAACATAAAAAAAATTAAATTTCATCGTTTTAGTACTGAGGTAGCTAGCTACCTTATGATTTGAATTTTTAAAAATTTTGAAGACGCATAACTTTTTTTCTATTAAAAATAGAGAGCTGGAATTTTCAGCGATTCTTGTCCCAGTAGAAGACTACAATCCCTGAAGCTTATTTGGACCTATTGTTCCAGAAATTGAATCGAGTTAAACATTTTGGGGTGAATCGAGGGGTCGTTTGTATAGGGCGGCAAATAAACAGAGGGAGAGTTGGTCAATAGTGAATGATATTCGCCAGAATAATGGAACTTCACGGAATGCTTGTGAGGCTGAAATGTTCCCAGATACTGTAAACAGTTTTTATTGCTCTATAGCCAAGAATCTCAATGGGAATGTCGTTCCATCTGTTGATCCACTCCATTATCTTTCGGATATATCGGTGGAGAATTCTTTTTTCTTCCTACCAACTAACATTCATGAACTTATGGAGGCTATTTCTGGTGTCAGGACTAGGAACTCTTCAGGTTTTGACAAGATGTCTGTGAACATATATTTAAACTTGCCCGTTGCTGTACTAGGTATATTGGTACAAGCAATTAATATTTCTTGGGAGTCAGGCATCTTCTCTCCATGCTTAAAAACAGGCAAAGTTATTCCTCTTTATAAGGGAGGTGATACAGATGAACCTTCAAATTACCAGCCAATTTCATTGTTATCTACGCTCTCTAAGATTATCGAAAAATTGGTTAAATCGCGAATGACCTCATTTATGAATGTAAATAATATTTTAAATAGTAGCCAGTTTGGATTCCAGGAAGAAAAGAGTACTAATGATGCTATGTTCAGATTATTGGAAGACTTATATTCACGAATTAACAGGGGTGGAGTAGCCGCGGCGGCGTTTTGTGACTTGTCCAAGGCGTTCGACTGTGTTAGTCATGAAATTCTTTTACGTAAGCTTCATTCCTATGGTTTCAGAGGGGTGGCACTTTCTTGGTTCGAGTCATACTTGACTGGACGCCACCAGAGAGTTTTTATGAAGTCTGGATATTCAGAGAGTCAGAGTATTGATTGGGGGGTTCCTCAGGGATCCGTTTTGGGTCCAACTCTCTTTCTCCTATTTATTAATGATTTGCCTACTTTAGACATTAGTGGAAGGTTTACAGTTTTCGCGGATGACACTACAGTCTTGTGGCACTGTAGAGATTTGGCTTCCTTACATGATAATATTTCTAATGATATTAAGAAAATCAAGGCTTGGTGTGATGCAAACCTTTTGTTGCTGAATTTTGAGAAAACAAATGTTGTAAGCTTCAAGTGTCACATGGAGGGTTTGGTTATTGGGGATACCGCCACTGAGAATCGTACTAGCGCGAAGTTTCTCGGACTTATCATAGATAATGAGCTTAGGTTTGAGTCCCATATTGTTGCTCTGAGCAAAAGAGTAGCTTCAGGATGCTACGCGGTCAAGATTACGGTCAATGAATTGGGTCCTTCAATGGGCCGAACTGTCTACTACTCGCTCATTGAGTCACGTCTCAGATATGGGATCTGCTTCTGGGGCATGTCTGGTTTGCGTTTGCTGAACAGCTTGTTTGTCTTGCAAAAACGAGCAGTTAGGTATTTGAATCGAGCGAAGCCACGAGATTCATGCAGGCTATTGTTTCTGAGCCACAAAATTCTGACATTGTACAGTCTATTTATCTTGGAAAGTGTTTGTATTGTCTATAAAAATCGTCACAATTTAATATCCCCTAGCTCGCGTTACAATACTCGCCAGTTGCTTAATTTACCTCTTCCTATACCTACCTTAACTCTAACTAAAAAGTCTGTGATATACGAAAGTATAAAAATGTATAATCATTTACCCAATTTCAATTTCAATTTCAATTTCAATTTCAATTTATTCAATAATAGTTAACAGTTTCATGATTATAAACATAATAATGTACTTAAAACTATTTAATTATATGAGGCAAAAAAAAAACCCCTAGGTGCTGTGGCACCTGTATGGGCTCGATATTATATAATAATACTAATAATAATATGTTACAGGAGTCAATATCTATTGAAATGAGAAACAATTAACAGACAACCAAAAAAATACAATAAACTGATAACCCATCCAAACTTTAACAGTGTGATGTTACAAATTTTCATATCTACAACATATCATCCACAAGATAAATGATGGATTACCGACTAAATACAATGACAAACTGGTCATACCGAATGAAGTTAAAGTTTCTCCGACATTGAAACTGTTTAAAAATGGGGTCCGAAGGCTATTGATTGGTAAGGCGTATTACAGTATTGACGAATTTTACAGAGACTTTTAAACTGTACATTTTATGTTTAAGCTTTACCACTCTATTCATTTTATTTATAAGTTTTAATTGTTTAATTGTGGCTTGATTGTTGCCGTGACTGCTGATTTTAGCTCCCGTACTCTATTTACTTTATTTATTGTTTTTTTTTTTTCTGCATTATGTTAAAGTATTGTCACCTCGATTGTCACTCTGTTTGTTTGATTTATTAGTTATAATTAGGTATTTGATTGTTGTTGACTTTGATTATTGATGATTTCCCTTATGTAATATTTATGCTTCGTCAATGAGACTATTGTCTTAAGATAATAAAGCTTATTTTGAATTGAATTGAATTGAAATTTATCAATTTTTCAATTTTCTTAGTGCCCTTTTTCATAGATTTCGGCTTCAAATCTCAGAATAATTTAGTGTATGGAGTTTAGGGGGTCCCGAAGGATCAACCACTTTCCGAAATACATATACACTTGGCCCGAATTACCTCCGAAATACTTTCAAATACTTAGAATTACCACGAAGTACATCAAAATACCAGGTATTCTCGTCGAAGTACGCAAAATCCCATGGAAATACCCTTGCATTACCGCGCGAAGTCCCGCAATATTTGAAAAAAAAATGTGGATTGCAGTAAAGAATTTTTTCTCAGATTTTTGATATGATACATTTTATTCGGAGGACACACAGGATTTAGACAATTGAATCAATAGTTACTTAAGCAGTTGAATATTCTGTAAGGCTGCTCGGGCGACGAGATCAATCGTCAGTTGAGTCCTTGTTATAGCAAACAATAACCTCTGATTGTGCCACACAAAAACAATATCATATGGACATTGACACAATCTAAGGTTTTTGACGATTGATTTAGCCGCACTTATAGTTACCTACTATTAAGTAACTGTCATTGATTACTAACTAATACTTATCAAGAATATCTTTGCATTTCTTTCAATTAATTTACACTAAATCCAAATTATGTGCACATGTTTAGCCTGCTTAAAGATGGACTATAACAAGGACTATAATTTTCATTCTATAATATTATTTCAATTTTAGGTGATGAGGAATTAACTGTTCTCAGTACAAAAAAAAAATATTTTTAAATAGCTTGAAACCGAGGTATTTCTAGCGCGAAATACTACGAATTACCCCGAAATACCATAGATATCCTCGAAATAGCATGAATTTCTTGAAATTACTAGGCAATACCACGAAAACTTTGGTACGAACTACCACCGAAATACTTTTAAATTTCGTGAAATACTTGCGAAATATCGACTTTTTCGCAATATGTGTACACATTTTTCAGGAGTGGTTGACCCCTCGGGGGGTTCCAACTGATCATATAATCGCAAAATCTCAACATAAATAAATTTTACTAAGGTACTTAGCACCCTTATGATTTGGATTTTCAAAACGTTTGAAGACCCATAACTTTTTTTAAATTTTATATAGAAAGCTAAAATTTTCAGCGATTCTTATCCCACTGGAGGACTACAATCCCTAAACATTTCAGCTTCTTTAAACATACAGTTCCAGAAATAAAATCACGTTAAGCAATTTGGGGTAAATTTATCCATTTTCCAATTTTCTGAGTGCCTTTTTTTATGGATTTTGGTTTCAAATCTCAGAATAATTTGGTGTATGAAGTTTAGGGACAGTGTTGCCAATCTGAATTTGTGAAATTACACGATATGCTGGTCAAATTACACGTTTTTACACGCTTTCATTTCTCACAATTACATGATTTTTACACACAGAATAGGTACCAAGAACCTATTCTGTAACATCAAGAAACAATAAGTATAATTTTTTTTTGTTAATTATGATTTTGGGAAATGTGTTAAATCCAGTCAAATCTGAAGGTTAATGCTCCTGATCATCGCTCCTCAACCAAGAATAAAGATGTACACGAATTACTCTGGTTCCTGAAAAGAAGGTTACTTTTGGACCTCAGTTTCCTGCAAGCATACGACACACTACTACTACTACAGGATAGCCTATCCTCATAAGGCCTGTGTAGTTCAAATCTCAAGCCCCCTCCCCCTGCCATGCCAAAGTACCAGTGACAAAGTAGGCAGCGTGTCATTTCTCGTCTTCATTAATTAACATTACAAAACAACTCTTTTTCATATCTCGTTTGCATCTTCCGCTTCGCCTATAATCAAACTTAATTACCATTTTTCATCATAAATTTAAAACAACGGCTGACGCAAACAACTGACCAGCTGACGACTTAGTTAATGATGTCGGAAATGGTGCTAAATCATTTGACCGCGATTACTAAAAACGTAGTTCAATGTAAAAACGACGCCTATAAGCAATCCGTAGTGTGTATTATCCTTTGCCATAAGGGTAGCCATTTGACAAATCATTTGATTAGATTGGAAAGCTGTAAAACAGACAAAAATAAAGAAAATGTCAAATTTTTTCAAATTACACGCAAAATACACGCAAATCGTGTAATTACACGCTAATTGGCAACACTGTTTAGGGAGTCCCAACTGATCATATAAACGCAAAATCTCAAGATAAATCAATTTAAAATTTCATCATTTTAATACTAAGTTACCTAGCACCCTTATGATTTGGATTTTCAAAAACTTTGAAGACCCATAACTTTTTTTTCTATTATAGATAGAAAGCTAAAATTTTCAGTGATTCTTGTCTCGGTAGAGGACTACAATCCCTGAAAATGTCAGCCCATTTGGACTTAGAGTTCCAGAAATAAAATCAAGTTAAGCAATTTGGGGTAAGTTTAAAGTTGCATCAAAAGTTCCATTAAATATTCAAAAGTTGCCGTCACTTGACCAAAGCAGCACAAAAAGTTACCCAGTGTGAAATAATGACGCAGCCATGTTTTGGATTGATTTACTCATGAGTAGTGATGTTGTGAGTGATTTTAATTTTTTGTTTTTAGCATTTTTTATCTGTGGTTGTGCTCATTATCAAAGATTATTTTGTCATTATGAATGTTGTTATTGTAATATTTTGTGATTTTAAGTACAATCTAGCTTTAAGTATTGCTTTGTCAATGAAACTCTTATGTTATTATCTGACAATAAAGCTTATTTTGATTTGAATTGAGTCAAGAATCTTCCCATGCGAATATTCGCGAACATTGGGAAATTTCCGAGAATATTCGCCGATAAAAAATGGAAACCTTCTCCTGAATAAGAATATTCCTGGAAACTTTGAATCAAAAACTCTCAAAAGAATATTTCCGAGAACTTTCAAGAATATTTCCACGAACTTTCCAGAAGAATTTTATGAAAATGCAAGATTATTGCGAATACAATGTCTCAGTGACGTCATTTCACTTTATGTGGATGACGTTTTTAGCTGATCTTACAGAAAAAAATAGGTGTTTTTCTTGGTTTATAGTCTATAGTCAGTACAGTATAATAAAAGGTAAAGAAAGCTTACTACGATTTGTATGATTTAGCTATAAATTTAAAAAAAAAACAATATTTCCATAAGTTCCCGAAAATTCCCAATATTCCCGGAAAGTTTCCAAGAATGTTCGCGGCTTTTGAATGTTTCGGGAATTTCACATCACTACTCATGAGAAATTCGGTATCCTCACATTTTTGGGACTCTAACGTCAAGTCCTAGCTTGCATTTTCGCAGCAGTTTGAAAATTTGATTTATTTTTTTTTTTGAAAAAAAGTATACAGATGGTTATTAGAATGACTAATGGCTGTTTGCACCGAACATTTTAAGGGAGATTTATTGATAATCAACGCTTAAAGTGACATTTTTGCATGTAAAAATTTCACTTTGAATGAAAGAGTGGGCGGCCGGGACCGTAGTGCACATAGGTCTCCTGTGGTGGACCCTTTGTGCACTTTAAACATTGATTATCGTTAAACCTCCCTTAAAATGGTCGACCATAACACAATAATTCCAATATTTATTTGAAAAACGTGAAAGTGGCCTATTATAGAAACCCTGAATAAGATTTAATTTTTTTACCTTTTGAAGTAGGCGGTGAAGAACCAAAATGCACATTAGTAATTTCAATTTCAGAAGGATTCGGCAAAATCACCTCTTCTCTGCAGACAGTCAACAGATTAGACAGAATCGAAGAATTCGTTTCAGCCTTATTGAAGCTTTCGCGCTTTGGTAAAATTGGTCTTACAGTTTCCTTGTGGACTGTTTCTTCAAACTTTACGCTTTTGGGTAAACTGGATGTATCGATTTCTGCCAAATTAAATGTAGTTTCACATGGCTGACTTTCGACGTACTGCCTGATTTTTTTTTCGACCAGAAGACATCTGGATTTGAAGTCGCATGAGGATTTTAGAGAATTCCTACAGTTGTTGCAAATAACTGGATTCGGTATTAGATCAAGAGCCTGTAAATAAAATTAGGAGATAGAACTAGGCTTGTTTTGAATTCCAGGCTTCAAAACAGTTGTACAATTTTGTTTTGGTGGCTACCTGTACCTGTATTTGTTTGAATAACTACTTGTCTGTTCAACTGGTTATGATAGAAATTAAAACAAAGCCTATTTGATTGTGTGGCAAATTAACTAGGCCATTTGTTTAATTATAAATTCAAGATTAAACCTGTCAAAATATGACAAAAAAAAATATCTTACCATTTCAGGTATGCAAGTAGTCAATTGATCTCTGTAGGGCATGAACCCAGTGAAACTTTCTACTGCATTGATGTTGAAATATTTCGAGCCTCTCTGGAGCCTCGAGAGGCACAAACGACAAACTTTTGTCATTTCACCGTTTGTTTATAACAAATATCTGGTAATTTTTCCACGCACAAAATCCCGAAAATTATATAATCGATAAAAAACCCATACAAGTCTCTGCTTTCACAGGAATTTGAGACATTTTGATTAAATGTCAAAGTGATATAATAGACATAAATGTCAAATGGCAGGAGAAGAAGGCGGATTTTGAACATTTTTCTTGTCAATTTTGTAAAAGAAAAGGTCAACAAAGGAGGGGCACAGTTGACAGCTGCGAGAAAGAAAAAGACAGAAAGAAAATGACACAATGGTGACATGTATTTGGCAGGGGAAATAAGTTTTGAGTATTGAAGCGGTTGTATTTACTTGCGTGAAGTTAGCTTTTTTCTCTTCTTTTTTTAATATGAAAGTTAAAGATTTGAATATACGGCGGGAAATATCGAGGGTTGTTTTTTCTACGAGCGTGCGTGAAACCACATTTTTCCGCACGCATTTTAAGTCATAGAAGTACCACTTTTGGTATATGTATAGGTACAAATATTAACTTTCATCCAGTGGAAAAAATGCTGTTACTTTCTCGTGCGGAAAGTCTCTTTTCCTCACTCGATTGACCTTGTCGTTCGGCCAACTACAATCGCGCGCGTAAAAGTAGCACTTTCCGCACTAGTATCTGTCTCTTGTACCTTGTATTTGTCATTGGGTCTTCAGCATTAGGAAATATGCTTACTACAACGTGAATTACGTAGCCCGTGCGGCGTGCATTAGAACTTGTCCAGTTTGCAGGTGGATTAGATATAGCATCTAATCCACCTGCACTGAGAATATTTTTTCATTGTCATAGCTAATTTTTCTGCTGCCGTAGCCAAAAATTTTGGCTACATAGGGGACAGCCAAGATCTTTACTACCGCCGAAAAGATAACGTTACTGGCACCGTTTATTTGCGGTAACAAAGTGACTTTATAAAGAATTTACTCACAGTTTCTACAAGGTCACTTTGCTGGCATAGAAAAGCTACTTTGCTGTCGTAGGAAAGTAACTATGCTGTCCTAGAAAAGAGGTTATATACCCTCAAAAACATCCTTTTTTGCTATTGAAAAGTAGATTGCTAAGACAGAAAAGATATTTGTTGTTGTTATTAGAAATGCTTCCTGAAATAGGAAAGCGTTTGTCTCAGAACAAAAAAAATCTTGCCAGAATCAGCCAAGTGTTTTATTAGCCATGGGAAGTTATTTGTCTCACCAATAGCAAAAATATTTTGCTGGAAATCTTTGGAAATATGTACACTGAGAAAAGTCCCAGGAGAAAATTCTTTGCTGGTTTTTTTTTAGCTGTTACAGTGGAAAATGTTTTAGAGGTAGCAATGTTATTTTGCTTCTACAGAAAAGACCACTTTGCTGAAACTACTTTATTGAAACTGCAAAGATATTTCTTATTCCAAAACCAATAAACTTTGCTGTTATAGCAAAATTAAAATTTTATGAAAATATTTCTGCTTCTCCGAAATAGAACTTTTCTAAGATAGATAGATACTACTGTTGCAGCAAAAAAAAATTCCTGTAATTTTTGTTATTGTTACAGTAATGTTTTTTGCTACCCTAGCCAAATAACTTAACTAAAAATACCGTTCGGACATTTCCGTGATTTCTTCGGGTCCAAAAATAACCGATAAAATATGTTTCGTGTTCATTTTCTTCCATTTTAGTTTAGTAGCTAACGCCGTACGGTGTGGATCGTGGATGCTATCGAGCAGGGACGGCTTAAGACTTCTTGAGGCCCTGGGCCTATATGTAAAAGGAGGCCCCTCACCTACGGGGGGGGGGGGGGGAGTGCTCTAGGGAATACGACATGAATAAATAAAAAAAACCTCTGAAATTTATTGTATATTGTGGAAAGATAACAAATTAGAATTTACAAATTACAGAGGTCGTTTTCTAGATTAAACCGAGGCCAAATCGTAAATCGTGAATTATGTCTTCAAATCAATGGTTTGTAAAATTTCGCTTTCAATACTCATCAAACTTAGGTTTATCAAACGCGACTGGCTCATGCGATTTCTAATTTTGCTTTTGACCATTTTAAGTTTGGAGAATGAAGGTTTTCCGCTTGTATTGGTGACCATCATCAGGGACACTTTATCCGTTAGGACAATTAGGTCATGTCCTACGGGCCACTTGAGGATGAAGGCCAACTGCTGGCCTTTAATTTATAATATAAAATATAAAAGCCCACTATATTAAAAACATCGACTTGTTTAGTAGCAGGACTAGCATATATTTCAATACTCTTTAATTCTCATAATTCACACTGCACAAGCACATTTGGTTTGGCCAGAGTGCACTGCCTGATGTCACGATGCTCTGGAATCGCTCCGCTCGCTCCATCGAGGCATCGAGCATCAATCCGGAAGACGCTCTAAAGTCACCAAGCTGCGCTGAATCGCCGTCGATTCATTAGCGCAGCACGGGTACGTGGCAACTAGCAACGACTACAGCAGGAACCTGTTAGTATTTGCGCTGCTTTGCCAAATTGTAAGTTTCTTTGAGCTTCTTCTGGAGCATCCAGGGACTTGAGCAGTGTCTTAAGGGTCCAGTGTACCACGAAGTCGTGCCTTGTTGTTGTTGAGCTTGTAGGACATGTACAGGCAACATAGTACGAACTCTGAGTTGCAACCCTTTATGCATCTTTTCCTCGCTACTAAATTTGATTCCAAGCCATGCAGCTGTTCTTCCGAAGCACCCATCAGTACACTTAGTCCCCAGCATCCATATATGGTGATTGGTAGGCTGGGAGCTCAATCCCATCATTTTCTTTTAGGACGTTCCAACCATATAGCATGTTTTGTGACCATTCTTGTTCCATCATTTTGTAGTACCTTTCTTTGATTTTACCGAATACCACTTGCAGGGGCGGATTAAGCCTTTTTTCGCTCCTGTGCGATTAGAATTATTTCGCCCCCTTCCAGGCTCTGGGTTATATCATTATATTTTATTTTGTCATTTGAAGATTCTTCAATATAAAAAAGACAAATACTTAGTATTTTGTATTAAAGATAGCATGAGACACGTTAATTAGTGCCAAGTCACTTGTCTTTTCATCTGAATGTGTGTTTCTGAGATAGTCTTTAATCCTCCTTAGGGTGGAAAAAGACTTCTCTCCAGACGCGTTAGTCGATGGAAGGCAAAGATACATTCTCAATGGTACCTCGATATTGGGAAATGTCGAGATTACTTTTTCAGACTTTAAACTTTGTGGAGGTTTATCCAAATTTAAGATGCCATCGTGACTACTAGAAATCAGGAAATATTTATATTGAAGACATTTCTGAGGAAAATAATCGTCCAGATCGTTTTTACAAACTTTAACACACCGAAGCGTTCCAAAATGCATCAGAAAAATCTTGTACCGGATATACACCTAACTTTTACCGGAATTTTTTGACAGCTACCGGTTTATTTAACCGGTCAATTTATCGGTGAAATTTGGAAAGTGCCCATAATAAAACAAATTTATACAAAAATGCAGTTCCAAGGTCAAAATGTTGTCATATTATGTGTAGGAAGTCAAGTTTTTGTCATTTTGCTGTTTGATTTTCTGAATTTTTTCCTTTTATTTTTATTTTTAAAATTTTTTGCCCCCTTTGACTTTTTGCCCCTGGGCGATTGCCCACTTCCGCCTTATGGTTAATCCGGCCCTGACTACTTGGCAACATTTTTTGCCTTCATATTCTGCCAGGTTAGTAGTTTGAAATCGTCTGAATGATTTTATTTAACCCCATAAAAAAGAACAATCACTCATGAAAGGCCATACCAAATAATTGACCTACGGGCCAGAGACAGGTTAAAGCGTCACTGACCATCATGGTTAAAAAAAAATCTCCTAGCCAGATACCAGATAGGATTTGAAATGCTCACATTCCAAAATTAATTCATCGGTGTTAAGTGTCTTTGTCATAAAATTGTGACAGTTTTACCGCTTCTCTTGAAATTTCAATTTCAGTCAGGTCTGAAATTTTTTTTATTTGTCACTCATTTGTAAAACGTCACTTATCAAGTCAAAACATAACCAGCGAAAATTGATTTTTACAAGCTACTGGCTCTACTGACTTGTAAAATTGACAGCTAAACTGTAAAAACTTTTTACAAGTCAGTAGAATTATTTATTTTTGAAAAATCGGTTTTATCACAAGAATAATTGCTTGTAGGTACCTTCTGGGAGACTTTTCTGGTGATAAACTGTTGGCTACGACTGAGGCTTCATTAATAATATCTTGTAATAAATTCATTTCTGGAAAAAAATTGCAAAATGGAAATCTGTCAAAAAACCTATTTATAACTAGAAACAACGTCTTAACAACGTATCATTCTCATAGTTATACCAACTACCAAAACTTCTGTGAGAAAAAATCAAGGAAAAACATATAAATTTCAAATTTTTGTTATGTATTGATTTTTTATTTGTCCCTATATCTTTTACAAATGAGTAACAAATAAATTATTGTACATTATACGCCAGGTAGCAGTTTTTACTGACTCTTAAAGGTGACAAGCTCGCCTGGCGGCTCGCTAGTCATTTCCTTCAATCGCCAGTAAAAACTGTTTTACCTGGCTAATAATGTAAAATACTATAACCAGCCCAATTTAGATTTGCCACTGTTAGGAAAAATGCAGTGGCGTATCAACCCAGCTCCAGGCTTGTGTGCTAAAATCTCTGCAGGCCCATTACAGGTCTTCCGCGCGTCCATCATGACAAAACCAGGAGATAAACAAACTCTATTTAAACCCCTAAACTTTCATTACCTGATCTGAAATAATGTCAATTAATGAAAAGTTTGGCGCTAGAGTTGTTTCTGCTAGTTTTGATGGATGCGCTGGCACCATTTCCAAAAAGATTCCCAGCGACCGACACTCGACTTGACTCGATAGCATCCACGATCCACACCGTACGGCGTTAGCTACTAAACTAAAATGGAAGAAAATGAACACGAAACATATTTTATCGGTTATTTTTGGACCCGAAGAAATCACGGAAATGTCCGAACGGTATTTTTAGTTAAGTTATTTGGCTAGGGTAGCAAAAAACATTACTGTAACAATAACAAAAATTACAGGAATTTTTTTTTGCTGCAACAGTAAAGTATCTATCTATCTTAGAAAAGTTCTATTTCGGAGAAGCAGAAATATTTTCATAAAATTTTAATTTTGCTATAACAGCAAAGTTTGGTTTTGGAATAAGAAATATCTTTGCAGTTTCAATAAAGTAGTTTCAGCAAAGTGGTCTTTTCTGTAGAAGCAAAATAACATTGCTACCTCTAAAACATTTTCCACTGTAACAGCTAAAAAAAAACCAGCAAAGAATTTTCTCCTGGGACTTTTCTCAGTGTGCAAGTTAATGCACGGGCTACACAAATCACCCTGTATATTCTATGGTGTATTGAAATTGCATGGATTTAGAATAAAACACTAAATAGCAACAAGTTAACAAAAAATTTAATAAAATAGATATTGCGCATATGCATTTCCTATTCACATATTTATAAAAAAAGTATATAATTATTAATTATTTGTATTTATACATCGTTTTGCTTATTATATTACAAAAATAAGGCTTTAGTAAATTCGTAAACGTTTCTATTTTGATTAATTTCACAATGTTGCCAAAAAAAAAAAAAATTAAATTTTTGTGCCTTGATGAAGTCGAATCCATTGAGCTGGCTTAACAGGGCTTTAATTATTATCAATGGAAGGAAGCCTTTATGTACTTTAAAATTACTTTTCAGAGATTCCCTATACAAAAAAAAATTATACAAAATATTTACACAAAGTTTTTTTTTTACTTAGAATAAATTATTAGTTCTTCATTTTTGTCTTTGAAGGCCTACGGTGTAAACGCACCTAAAGTTGACATGCGGATTTAAATTTAAAAAAACCGAGCACGTTTACAAGGTGTATAGAAGGTCGAGTCTTTGATCCTGAGACCAAAAAAGTTTTCGCATTATGCTAAATCATTTTGAGCGTTTCGTTGTCATTCTTCGATTGATATCACGTTTTGCATCCATCACGTAGCGATTTCACTGAAAAAAATAAAGAAACACATTTTATTGTTACAGTAGATTTTTTTAATAGCTCTACAAAACTTGCGTCTATGAACTCATTGCCCAAAAATGCCATTTTGGCAAGAGAGTGATGTACAAAAAAAATACACTCTTATTTGAAACTAGCTGACCCGGCGAACTTCGTACCGTCCCTGAATTATTAAATATCTCTTGAGTTAAATACCTATTAAATGTTGTGTTAACGTTAACGTATCTAGTATAGTTTAACCATTATTAATTGAAACTTCATAAAAAAGGCGGCTCAGTCGATCTTTTTGAAATCACGTGGGAATCCATAGGCGTCTAAATATTATTTTTATGACAAATTGATTAATAAAGAATAAACATACTCCAGATATTTCCATAAAAACTGAAATGACGAACGCCATTGCCCCGAAATTCTAGCTGATTTAATTTTAGAATACAGTGGAGTTAATACATTAAATAAAGGGACAAAATTCATATAGTAGGTAATCCTTAAAATTCCATTTTAAACTATTGAAATAAATCAAATATAAATATTTAAATGGGAATATTATTCCTTCATTAAAAATTCAAATTTGAAATCGATTTTTATTCAATTAGGTATCTGTGTAATTTTATACTTTTGTCCACTTCTAAAGAGATATCTCACACTGTCAACAAGAACGGCTTGGCTTTGTCGGATCGCAGTCTTCTGTTCGTTTAATCGTCAGTGAACGGTACCCTACTTTGAGTGGTTGCAATCCGCTCTAGGACATAATTGTCTTCTGTTTTGTAAAATTCTTACACATGTTAATACTGTCCCTGATAATCCAGTGTGACGTCACAAACACCTAGTTGTAACTTTAAACCGCCCTAACTCGAAAACGGACCCTCGTAGCCAGATGCGGTTTAAATATTTTTTCTTAGATTTTTTTGCACTAAATTTTAATTTTTGAGTCACACCCCCTTTAAGGGCTCTATTATGGTTGTGTTCTTTTTTCAACTGGCAGTACTGATTTCTGCTGTACGGTTTCTAATGCAAATCGTCGTTGTTTTTAACCAGTATGCTGTATTACTGGTTGATTTTGGAACGGATTTCAGTATAAGGTATGTCCATGTGACGTCACAAATCAGTTTGACACTCGCCCTGAGGTAAAACCATTGGGTAAAACAAATCATTTATTTACATTCGTGTAGATTAAGCCGGTTATGTTTTATGCGGTTTTCAGAGCTTTTTTACAAGTTTTTGTGTTATTTTGTTTTAAAAAAGTTAAAGTGTTTATGTTCCAGTTTATGTGGTCTTTTATCCTGAAGTTTGCTGGGTTTTTCTTTAATGGAATTTAATGGATTCAATTCAGGTTTTTTCCAACAAATATCAAAACCAAGAGTCACAATAATAAATATATAAGTATAGTTACTCTATATTCAATTTATTTTTCTGTCAGATCTCTTTTAACAACATTAATCAATTTTTCTCTTCTTTCTTGAGCTAACAAATCAAACCTCCCACTGTTATTTAAAATTGATGGGAACCTATGGAAGGATATTGTATCCCTTGCGCTATACTGTCACAATTAACAACTAAACAAACTTTAGGCATGTCCAAGAAACTTCTAGATCACACAAAAGGTATTTATTTAAAAAAATCTAACTAAAAACTTAAAAAACCATTGTAAATTATACCTCTGTTTTACCTCAAGGCGACCGTCAATAGTGTCAAAATGCCAGATCGTGTACTTGCTCTATTAAGGAGCATTTACATTCACTTCCAACTTCAAGTTAAATTTGACGTTTGATATTTTATCATTTACAGTGCAGAACAAAAACGTCAAGTCAAAACGTCAGGATTTTATGAGAATCATGATGAATAATCTAAAAATTTGACATTTCCCAACTTTCTGCTTGCCTTCGGCAAGCATCTCGCCCAAATTTGAAGTGAACTTCAAATTTATTTCAATGTAAATGGATTTGTGCTGCCGCCATATGAAAAGCACATCAATTTCAAGACAAATTGGACTTCGAAGTGGATGTAAATGCATTATTAGGCACTAGCTGACGTCACACACATAACCTCAAAATGACATTATTGTCCCCCTATCCAAAGTGACGTTATATGATTTTTGACGTAAAAGCTAGCGCCTGCGTCTAAAAATAGACCTTCAAATGCTTTGTTTGTCCCCCCATCAAAAGTCGAATGTGAGGTTGTGAGTGAAGTCAGCTAGTGCCTAATTAATAGTACTAAATAAACAATACCACCTGTACTTTGAAAATCCAGAGGCTTATGAACCATTTTGCCGAGTCATCAAAAACAATTTTAAATAGCCCTCTGTAATGACCCGGGAAAATAGACCCGTAATTTACAATGTCTTGACTGTAAAAATTAAATGTAATCAAATAATCAAAAACTGAATTTCCTGTATTTGAAATCAGTATCAATAAACTGAAAATGAAACAAATTAGCGTTGACCCCAAATTAAATTAAAGTATCAATATACGTTAAAATTTTATTATTTACTCACCAAGAATGCTAAATCAAATTCATAAAATTATTAAAAGCGAGGCCAAAGTAATTAAATAGGTGATTTATGGCCGCACGTGTTTTTCGGCTTTCTTTGTGTTGTCCTCACATTCTTAAACCAAATCTGTTGACCCCGATAAACCAGGAAATTGCGACATAATTATTCGATTTTAAACAAATAAAAACCCGGAAGAGATCAATTACAAGAATAAGCACCTAAGTAAATTGGACCCAAAATGACAAAAATTTCGAACAGATTGCATAATCCTCTAAAAATGATGAAATTAGTTTTTGGAATAGATGGTCAAACGACCGCCCATTGTCGATTTTGGTTGGTAATTAATAATATTTTGGGGGGGAATCGAAAAAGATAAATACAACGGTTTTAAAAGTAGAGGGCAGTTGAGTTGAGTTGTTAGTTCAGTCCAGTTTGAGTTAAAGTCTACAGTACCTAATGAGTCAGTCCGGATAAAAAATCGCGAAGAATTTCTTTTATTTTTGCCTCGGGGAAAACGCGTTTGATTGGATCTTTGAAAAATTAACAAAAAATTGTGAAAGAAAGAACATTTGAATTCGTTCAACATTATGTGCGAGCTCTAGAGATTTTTGAAGTAAATTAAATTAAGCAATTTTACGTGTGAACAGTTAAAAGTAAGTACTCTAGTGACTAGTAAAACTTTTCGACTTTATAAATGATGGATGACTAGGAAGTGAATTAGCTTTGGAATTAGGGTCTTTTCATTTAGAAATTATTGTGAGGTTTTTATAAAAATATAGTTGATAATACATATGTACTTAATCCAGTGAGTCGGATTATTACTTAATTATTTTGCATAAGCAGACACTTCAGGATTTAGGGTGTCCAAGATATGGATGTCTATCATGGGGATCACGTAAACGGTAGCAGATACGCCAATGGTTAAATGGGAAAAAAGTTGCGCAATTTAACGTTCAATAAAATGGTATTTTGACATTTGAAAAATTCCGGTTTTGTTCGGAATTTTTCAAGATTCTTAGTTAAACCAAATTAGTCTAATTGTATGATTGTACAAAAAGGCACTTTCAGAGAAAATGCTAATAATCAAAGACAACATCAATCAAATAATTAATTTATATGAAATTATTGACTCAATACTGCAAGATGTAGAAAATGCAGTTACCTTTTCTAAAAATTTACATCCCACTATCATAAAAACTGAAAATCTATATTTTGAGTTGCCAAGAATCCAAAAAATTGTGAATGCGAAAAGTATGCCTTTAGAGGTTACCCTAGCAAATACATTGTTACATAAGAAATTGATTCAACCTAAATGAGGACCACCAAGTGTTTAAGAAGCCAGTCCAGAAGGTCCAATCCAAGAACCGAGAACTATTCAACTACCCCTTCAACATATTTCGTTGAATCTTATGAGGGAGGAGTTACATACAGCTCCACATTGTATACTTTATAACCTCATTTAATCAGCATTTATATTTTTACCTTAGCTTCTACTCCCGGAGCGTCGTCCAGTCAGAGCATTGCATTTACCTTTGTATTTACTTTCGACAGTCCGAATTTAAATAGTTTGAAACAAAATTTTATAATAGTCTTGAGTTGAAATAAATTTAGTTTCTTTAATCGTACATTGCATATTGAAGTATAACTCCTATTATTCTCAAATTAACACTTTCCTGACTTTTCTCTCAGACACGTCAATTACGTTTTCAGAAGCACACAAAAAATGAAAATTGACGTGTCCGAGAGGTAAGTCAGGAAAGCGTTAATTTGAGAATAACAGGACCAGAAGATTGTTTCTTCTGGCAACTTTGACAGTGAAAATGAACTAATCATTCGATTTTCAGTTGTGACGTGAATTAAAATAGCTTTAAAATACGGTGCCACTCGACCCATCTTCCTTCTCTAAAAAAGAGGGGTAAAAGTCACTCCCTAGCGAAATACCGATGAGGTCAAAAAAAATTTCTCTTTAATACAAAAATGACGTGTCCGAGGGTTTTGTTAAAATCGACCTTGAAATACCCTGTAATATGTATAGGTATTAAGGGGCATAATTGCAAGTTTCATAGAGCTATTCAGTTCACTTCTCAAAGACAAAATATACAGCAATTTCTCCAAATTAAATAGCGCAAAAACAACTAATAAAGCATTTTGTTAGTAAAATGCGCATTAAAATTAAGCATTAAACCATCAAATAACTTTACTTTTTTTTTTCTGAAATATCAGAAAAACAATGAAGTTGTAGAATAAGTGAACTCTTGACAATCCTCTAAAAGTCTTTCTTTGCTGTTGGGCAAAGCAAAGTTGGCCAAATCTTCGATTCTTAACGAATGATGACGTCTACTAAAGGACCATTAACAATTTTGATTTTTTTTTTACAAAACCTTGTTTCCAAGCTTACCTAGTCAATTCTCGTCCAGAGATTAGACCTGTTCTCGACCGCGACCTCTGCAATTGTGCTCTTCTTTCGGCTTTAAAAAAATATATATAAGCGTGTTAATAAAAATAAATACAAACAATATAGTTAATAGGAAACAAATCCTACCTTTAAATAAACAATCATCAATAAAGCAGTCTTCAAAAAAATATTAAAATATAAAAAACCATCAAATTTGTGAAGCTGAATCTTACCTTTACATTCTTCCACAAGATTGTCTTATATAATAGACAAAAACCTTTAAAAATGTATTAGCAAATTGATCAAACCTACCTCCTAAGGGCCTGTTCCCCCTTTTCCGTTTCTCATTCTTTCCAAAGGCGCTACCACTAGATAAGGCCTCCAATAAACTAAAAACAATTATGAATTTATTGAAATGCAATTTTAAGAATCCAAAAAAGTCTTGCCTGTCCATAACACCTTCTTGATTTTGTGTAGGATTCATATCTATTAGTTTCCGTTTGTTTCTTTCCTCTTTGTCTTGGTCTTGCTTCAATTTGGCCAGTCGTAATTTCTCTTTCTTCTCTTCCATTTCTCTTTCTTTTTGATTGTCTGTTTTGGCTTGCTACAATGTCACATTGCAATATGATATATACCTTATTAATACTAAATACTACTTACAATAAAACTGTCTTTGAAAACTTTTAAATCCGTAAAGAATTCTTCTAGGGTGCATTTTTGCTTGTCAAAGGCATAATACTCGGCTAGTTCCGTATACAAACCTTCCATTTTTTTAAACATTTCTTGCATTACGTCGCATTGTTCTCTTGCGTCCTTTGAAAATTTCTAATTATGTTAATTAAGGAAAAAATTATTCAAAATCACTGGAACATGACCTACTCTACTAAGTGAAGAGTAGGGCAACTCTCTGAAATAAAGCTTATTGAAAAGGATACATCCATTACGTCAACAAATTTATCATCGTCACTTTGAGGCACTCTATTATTTTCCAAGTCAGTTTTCAGATTTTTTATGCTGTTGTCCATTTGTTTGAGGCTTTTTTGTATTGTGTCTAATGATACCCTGCTAGCTCTAACAAACAAAAAAATTATTAAAAATATAAAGCCTTTAGCACAACTACTAACCTGTCTATATGCGGCATTTCATCATAAAAATTCAACAAATCTGGCCATTTTGTTTCTACCGTTTCCGCTATATAATGTAGCAAAGTTTGTTTGTTGGCTGCATCCTTTGTACCTGTTAACTACAATATTTTTGTGAAAAATAATTTCATAAATCAATAATTATGGTTTACTTTGGTCAAGAAATTCATTTCAAAAGCAAAAACTCCACCATTTTTGCTGCCCGAATTCATGTAGTTTCCCAATAGAAGAATCAATTCCAGGATTCTGGCAAATTTTCTGCTTTTTTTCACTTCTTCACATGCGGCAGTAGCTGCCACTATATCCTAGAAAAAATTGTTTTAATACAACTATAATCAACAATAATCATAATCCTTACTGGCTTAGTATCATTAACCATTTCCGCATAATGATTTTTAAAACTGAGCGATTTCAACCTGGGCAACAACCGTTTCACTTCAGCCATTTTCACACAAAATTGTTCAGCTTCTGTTAATTCGCTATACCTGTCTGTGAATTCTTTTAGTTTATTAAGCTGATCTGTAGGAGGTAAGTACTGTATTAGTTGCTCAGTCACGCTCTCAGTAAGTACAGTATCATCACATCTGAGCAGAGCTTTTTTGATATCGTCGTAAGGCATGTGCTTTAGACTACCGTTGAGCAAAATCAGAATGTTCTGAGCCACTTTACCGTCCAAAACTTTAGATTCCTTGACTTTTTTTAGGGTACCGCAAAGACTATTTCTAGGAAAAACAATTTTTTTGTGACATATTTACAATTTTTAATTCTAGTGCTTACTTATCAGACATATCTTCAGCCATTTTGGCAGGTTTCGATGAAAACTTCTTGGCCAAACCGTCTAGAATATCTGGTTCAGCTAACTCCTCTTCTTTGGCTTTCACCCAAAACGATTTTTCTGATAATTTTTGTGGCATAATCTACAAAAAAATAACCTCAACAATCATTATATTTGTACTGAATTTGAATCTTACCGCTTTCCAGTTGGCCTTTTTCAATGGACCCTTGACGTCCCATTTTTTCTTAGGCTTAAGACCGTAAGGCAACACATCGGGTCGAACCATTCCGGGTAAAGGGACCATACCGAATGGGGGCGGAGGTGGGCCCATTCCTGGAAAAGCGGGCGGTCTTGGACCACCCATTCCTGGTGGTGGAGGCGGAGGTGGTGGACCACCCATACCTAAAACATAATTTTTCATTGAATTCAATATTATCTGAGAAACTGTATAAGCGCTGAAATAAGGGAATTGGTGGGGCAAAGAAAAAGTCTTGTTCAAGACCTACCAACCAGAAGAAATGGGACTGGAGATGAATATGGAGAAAATCATCCGTCATCCGGTTTCTTCGATAATTATGGAAAATGCCATCAACAGTGCAAATGCAAACCAAGTGATGCTGACGACGGATTTTCACTGGTGACTTATCGCCGAGGTAACAAAAGAGAGTTTCGGGGCACCTCAGAGATCGAATCAGACCAGGATTTTGTAGCTGCGTATGTATGACAATAAGATGTAGTTTTATATTGGTAGAGTTTCGCATTCGGTTAGTTCTTCTATAATTCTTAAGTACATAACTAAAAAACTACCTATTGTTAGCGAGGATAACATAATTTTTGACCAACTTAAAACTTTACGGAAAACAAATTCTTTTAAAGTTGGCATCACTCCAGACTACTACAACGTAATGAATTCCTGTGAATTTTGGCCAAGCAAGGTAATTTTTTGCAGATTTAATTTTAAGCGGAAATCCAATATATCCAGACACGATGGGGCCCAGGATTTCCGGGACCTAGCCGACAATCAGGAGTTATAAACAATCTGAATAGTTCTATATTAGTCTATTATCAGAATGTGCGCGGTTTGCGTACCAAATTAAATACATTGGCTAGTTCTGTTCCCCTATAGTTTCATTCCAAGTTCTGGTTTTTACGGAGACTACCGTCTTTAGATGTGATCGTTCAACTTCCTCCAGTACTGTCACCAGAGGGGGCGGTGGATTGATAGCAATTCAAAGGGGTATTTTTAGCTCAATCGACTCACCCAGGACTTATTGAACTGTTATTCGTCAGTGTGCACTCGGGGAATAGTAAATTATTGCTTGGTGCAGTTTACCTACCACCTAGATCCAATAGCGAGGATTACAGATGTTTTTCGTAACTTTATCGAATACATTCCCAGATCATAAGCTTTGCATTTTCGGTTATTTCAATTTACCCAAGGCTCACCGGGCTAGTGACAGTCTCGGCTGTTGCTGCTCAGTCTTCTTTGACCTCAGAGCGTGAAGACACCGAATGGTTATCCAATACGAGCGCTTACCAAAACCTGTTCCAGATAAATGCATTCTCTAATGGTCGTGGCACTCTAGTTGATCTGGTTTATACCCAGGACCCCGAGGATACCTGTCTCTTAGCTAATGACATAATTCTCCCCATTAATGCATATCATCCTGCTTACTTTTTGCCACCTGCACTAGGTTACCTCACTGCAATGTTGACGTCCCCCAGCCTGACGTGTACTATTATGATTTTGGGTCTGGGATGTGACGGAAATGATCAGGGTTTTCTATGACGTTCTCTATACGACTATCGATTGTCATGTACTAAAGAAGAATCTCTCAAGCCATTAATTTCCACGATGGTTCTCCCTTGAACTAAAGGACCTAATAATTAAGAAGAAAAGTGCCCACAGAACTTGGAAGTAGACGACTTCCCCTGCTGACTATGTTGACTTTTCACACCTTTGGGCTCAGTGTAAGACTCTTTCCAAAGATTGCTATACAAATTATGTCATATCCTCAGAGGTGTTCTTGCTTAGGGATAAAAAACTAAAACATTTCTGGAACTTTGTCAATGCTAGACAACAGAATATGTACTTCCTTCTTACATGTTTTATGACGGTAAATTCGCATAAAGTGGACCTGAACCAGCTAGTCTTTTCGGTACATACTTGTGATGTCATTGATACTTTCATTCTGTATACTCAGACAAAGCATGTGTCATTGGCCACAGCATTTCTGATAATAACATTCACATTCATGACTTTGATATCTCCATCTCAGTTATTTACAAGGAACTGTAAGCTACTGATCTTTCGTGGACCTGCCCGGATAGCATCCCCCCTCTGATGCAGGTGTAGCTTTATACTATACTATCTCGTCCTTTGTTTATTTTGTTCAATCAATCACTTATGCCGGTTTTCCACCAAACGGACTGTTGAGTTTGTGTTTTAAAACATGTTTTAAAACTCGAAATTAACCCGAAAAACAAAACTCCAACTGCCGCAAAACACGCTAATCTTGAAACTGTTTGGGAAAAGTTAGAGTTTTGTCTGAGTTTAAGTTTTATTTTTGTTTTGTCGGGTGCAGTGGTGTACATGATAATTTAGCTCCTGTCGACCCATTTTCCCTTTAATTTCATGATCGCGCTACTGCCAGAACTTAGGGCTAAGGGAATTGTCTCACCTTGTGCTATCATTTCAATTGCCTCTTGCCTTTTCGTCATTGTTAAGCATATGGTAAACCATTTTAGCAAACAAAGATTTTTTTCCTTCTACAGTTTATCAAAACTATTAGGTTCACCACTGACTTATCAATCTGACGAGATTTTGACATTGCCTGTGTGTCAAAGAAGTAAAATTTTGACAGATTACGAAGGATATTTATATAGTGTGTGCCAATAGGGCATTCCAACAAAACAGAAACAAACAGGGCATACAATTCGATTGTGTCACACAAGTGTCACATAATCTAAAAAATATTTTATAAACTCAAATGAGTTAATTTTTTTTGTGATTTAACGTAAACCAAAGTATGGCTGACTACTTGCTAAAAGTAGAACGCAAAAATCCTGATGTAGTTGTGCGTTACAAACAAGAAATTGCGGCTATAAACAGTGTTGATCTGTTGCGTTTGGCCGTTTGGCTAATTCTGCTTTGAGTTTAAAACCTGAAGACTTCCCTCCAGTCAGAAATATGGACATTGTTAGCTATATCCTTGGTTTTCACTACTACCTATTATACCAAACAGCAAATGAAAGTATTCAAGAGTTTGGCAGGCTACAAATATTTTGAAGCTGGATTCGTTACATTATATTTTATATATCGAACAAACTATAACAGCATATTTAAATTGACTGCCAGTAAAATCTTCACGTCTGATTGCATTTAACCACCGATGTCTTCTGATTTTCGATAATTCATTTTGTTGAACTTTATCGGGATGTTTTTCGTTGCTCCGATGGTAGTTTAAAAAATTTCACGATGTCGCGTTCTTTCCTACTACTACATTTCACTAGACAACAAAATGCAGGCATTTCACCGATATTTTTAAGCATTTAACATTTGCCTGCCCTGGCTAACTTTTGACAGACGTCATTTTTGACAGATCGTTGGAATGCCCTATTATTGATTCCCACTGTACGTTAATCAGTTAATAGAATGTGTTCGAAAACAGATCGTATTAGGCAACACAAACTCAAAATAATGCTCATTTGAAAACAAACTACACTGGAGATATTTTCCAAAAATTATGATTCTTCAGATGATGACTTTGAATACAGATTGATTTTTGTTGCCACAGGACTCATTTTAATTTTTAAATGAATTTATAGATCCTCCACATGAAAAAACAGCTGAGAACTAAACGCTAAACGACAATCGTTCCCAGTGGCTGCTCAAACTTAGTTTCAAAAATTCAAGTTCCTATCATCCAACACCCAAATTTCAAAGCGAACACTTCTTGACATAGTGAACTTTTGTTTTGGGACAAGTTATTTCTCCTTCCAACAAAAAGTATATTTGAAGAAAGATGGCTCAGCAATGGGCAACCCAGCTAGTCCAGTTCTTGCCGACATTGTGATGAACCACCTAATTTCTGAAACTTTTCAATCAAAGTTACCCTTCGACATCCCATTTTTATATGTCTATGTTGATGACACTATTCTGGCTGCCCCACAAGACCAACTGGATCTGGTTCTAAACCTTTTTAATAGCTTTCATTAATCCTTACAATTTATGATGAAAATTGAACTTCAAAATAAAATTTGCTTTCTGGATACAGAAGTGTGTCGACAGCCGAATGGCACATTATTGACATATTGGTATTCTAAACCAAGTAATTCTGGTAGAATACTCAGTTATTACTTAGCTCATCCCCTATCTCAAAAAATCGGCATGATAACTGGGCTATTACACAGAGCCATAAATCTAAGCCGTCCTGAATTCCATTCGGATAATTACAGCAAAGTGAAATTATTGAGAAAAACAACTACCCTATTAACTTCATAAATAGAAACATAATTAAGTTGTTCAAGCATACAAAAGAACTAAGTCATAATCATAATGGAACCAAACACAAATGGAACCAAAGACAAGGATCAAAGATATTTCAAAATTCCCTACATTGAAGGTTTGCCACATAAAATAAAAAAATGCTTCCAGGATACAAACACCATGCTGGGATTCTACAATCCACATACCACTAAATATCTCTATACGTCCCTTAAAGATCAAACACCACAGGAAAAAATATCCAAGATTGTTTATTCAATTCTTTGTGAATGTGTGGTAAAAAATCTGTTGGCGAGACCAAACAGTAATTGTATAAACGTATGCAACAACATCGAGGAGATTGAAGAAATGAAAGAAGATATAAACCAGAACAATGAGCATAAGCCCAGCACCATTGTGACACATGGCATGGATTCCTGTTTGAGAACACTCAAATTACACAAAAAGAATGATTAGGGAAATGATACACATAAAACTAAATGATTGTGTGAATCTCAGAACTGACACACAGGGTCTCAGTGTGGTATATAGTAGGCCTATTCGGGTTTGGAAAAAGGACAGTTCTAGAACGGTTCAAAACAATCATACAGCTTATTGATCAACAAAATAACAACGACTCGGCTATCACAAATTTCAATAATAAACTGTGCGATTCTTTTGGACCGTTCTAGAACCGTACTTTTTCCAAACCCGAATAGGCCCACTAATATATTACAACTTTACAAAGGCCACCAATAATTGACTAATCTATGATTATTAATTTAACTATTTTATAGTCCAAGAGCCGGCAATACTAGCGGATATGTGATCGTTGCAATGGATAATTTCTACATCAAACAATAGTTCATTGTAACCTTCAAACCAAATGGATGGGTGGCCTCGATTCTCATGGCCGTAAAGTTGTTTTATAAAAAGATACTTCAAGAACCATAAGCGCAACAAATAAGAAGTACCTTGCGGTGTAGGGGGTTCTCATTATATGCGGCAAACACTTTATTAACACAATTTCATGTTTCTTTTTTTGTCTAAAGACCTACAGCTGTATGCAAAATCCTCTTCACACAGTCCTCTTTTAACTTTGAAAGTGACTTTGAAGGCTGTCACTTTCAAAAATTTGTATTTAGCAAGCAAAATAACGCGTGCCCTCGACTTTCAATGAGGGTTGCCATCATTTCCGGCCATCAAAATCGAGGCCACCCTATATATTATTTGAGAAGACATATTAATGCATATATCTACCAATTTTCAGCTATTGCAACGATAACATTGTTCCTTCGGAAAAAGAGGGGTAGTTTACGCCCAGCCATCAAAGGGTTGCGGCCATGAGAATCGAGGCCACCTATCCATTTAGTTTAAAGGTAACTATAAGCTATTCTTTTATGTGAAAATTATCCATTGCAACGATCACATACCCGTTAATATTGCCGGCTCTCCTACTATTATATATGTATGGGTTCTGTTTGTTTAAATTTGGTTGTGGAAATATTCGTACTGATGAGCTAAAAAGAAAGCGCTACCCAACTGACAAGAGATAAATTATCATTATTTTATCCCATTTTGACGTTTAACAATGACATTATTGAACGCATAACAATAAAGGTAAGTAGACGTTTATCACCTCAGTGATTTGGCAATATTTTAACTCACTCTCGGCATTTTAAGTCACTCTACCCAACTAAAAATCTGGAACCTCAGTGATTTAAAATATTTTTAACTCACTCCCGGCATTTTTCCTTGTACTTTATTTTCGAAATTTTTACAAAATGGGATAAAATTTTGTATACATCACGTGAGTTAACATGTTTATTCATTCGAAGCAAATTAACCCACTCGCTGGGGCTCGTGGGTTAAACTTTCTTCTCATGAATAAACATTCATTTAACTCACTTGGTGTATAATAGTTATTTATACACCAAGTGAGTTAAATGAATGTTTATTTATGAGAAGAAAGTTTAACCCACGAGCCCCAGCGAGTGGGTTAATTTTCTTAGAATGAATAAACAATTCAACTCACGTGATGTATACAAAATTTTATCCCATTTTGTGGAAATTCAAAAAATAAAGTGTAAGGAAAAATGCCGAGAGTGAGTTAAAAATATTTTAAATCACTGAGGTCCCAAACTTTTAGTTGGGCAGAGTGACTAAAAATGCCGAGAGTGAGTTAAAAAAGTTTTAAGTCACTGAGGTGATAAACGTCTACTTACCTGTTATGCGTGCAATAATGTCATTTTTAAACGTCAAAATGGGATAAATAACTATTAATCATTATTGTTGTTTTATTTATCACTATATAATTTTTTATAAATCTTGAATTATTAATTGGATTTATGTTCTACCAAGCCATATTTGTATTGAGGTGTGTTTCCTGTTGTCCTATGGCGTGCAAAGACATTGTTTTACGAGTGAGTTATTCTTTTGTTATTTTACCATAGATGTTCTCTGTTTGTTAGTAGCTACTTAGTTTATTTGTCAAGTTATATACTGGTCTGTTCCCACAGGAGTCCTTGACAGTTTGCAAACTGTCAGTAAGCTTCGCCCATACATGTTTTCAATGCTGTCGTTCCAAGATTAGTCTGTAACTCAGCCGAGTGTTTGTTTCTGACCGGTTGCAAACTGTCAGAGACTCCTGTGGGAACAAACCTTACACCGTTTTGACCTATGAGACCCATTTTAATACATAGTTTGTTTGTACGTTTTAGGGTTCGAAAAAGTACTAATAGATGTACGAAACGTTACCAAGTAAAAATTGAGTTTTTCTTTGTCCCAAGTCCTATAACCCACGTTAAATTTAGAAAAACTATCCCTAAGGTCTTTGAGAATATAGTAACTAAATTCTTAACTCCTATCATCAACCCTTGCCTAATTGAACAGCAAGCAGGTTTCCGGCCAAAGTGCTCAACCAAAACTAACCTCCTGACGTACCAGGATAAAATCTCAAGGATCCTTGAAAGCGGTGGAGTTGTTCACTCCATATATACCAATTTTGCTTAAAGCCTTCGATCGTGTCAACCACAACGTCTTACTTCCAAAGCTTGAGAAAATTGGAATATCGGGTACTCTGCGTGCGTAGATCAGCGACTACCTTAGGAACAGAACCCAAACAGTCAAGATCATTAATTTCTGCTCACAGCCCATTGAGATCCCTTCAGGTGTACCACAAGGATCTCACCTGGGACCCCTGCTATTCAATATTTTCATTAACGATATTGGTTCTTGTTTCATTAATAGTGAGTTTCTGTGTTTTGCCGATGACTTTAAGATATTTGCCCGAGTCTCCTCCCACGAAGACTGTGCCAGACTACAATCTGACTTGGATAGACTTTCCGAATGGTGTGTCACAAGTGGCATGGAACTCAATGCTTCTAAATGTAAAGCTGTCGTTTTTGCCAAAAGTCAAAGCCCCATACAATTTGTTTACCACATGACCAATGATGAACCCCTTGAAACAGTGTCCCAACAACGTGGTCTCGGTGTTATTTTTGATAACATGTTAAGCCTCTCCAACCACATTTCGGATATCGTAACCAGGTCTCTGAAACTGCTGGGCTTTGTTAAGAGGTGTTCAAGGAACTTCTCTAACATCTCTTCCATCAGGCTTCTCTACTGCTCAATGATAAGGCCCATTTTGGAGTACTGCTCCTTGATTTGGTCACCTATGTATTCTGTCTACACCAACGCCTTGAAGCAGATGCAGCGTAAATTTGTATGTTACTTGGTCATCAAGGCAGGTATTCCTCTTCAAAAAAATTATATCTACAACTATGATGACCTCTACCGACGCTTCATCCTGCAACCCTTAGCCGCCAGACGAAATCAAAGTAATTTATTTCAATTTTTCAAAATACTAAACTCTCACAACGATTCCATATACCTACTATCCAAAATTGGACTTCATGCCCCAACAAGAATCATACGCTCTTCCACTACCTTCTCAGAAAAGATCCACCGGACTAACTATGGTTCGAATACTTTTATTTCCAGAGCTTCTCGAATCTCTAATTAGTTCAATACCCTGGACTTTTTCAGTACTCGTGAAGACTTTTAAAGAGAGCTTAACTCCTTAATCAAAGTTCCTGTACTTATTAATTGTTTAATGTGATATTTAGTAGTAAGAAATAATTTTATTGTAAAAAATGTTCGCCATCTCTTTATGTTGTTGAGTAGGTAGCCTTTTGTTTTTCTATTTTAATTGTTGTTGTCTAAACGTCTAATTATTGTATATAGATGTTCTGTCTGCAATTATGGGATTTCCTGTCAATAAATAAATAAAAATAAAAGTGAGCATAAAAATAACGACAAAAAAAAAGATTCACCATTAAACAACTCTCTTTGAAAAAGCCAGCAATTACATCTCTCTGGCTAGAAAGGGGAGAGCCTCACAAAGAAAGATGGCTACAGAAGAAGAGAAGAGAATATACCTGGTATATTATGACATGTGAGATAAACAGTAGTTTTATTCCCAAATAAACCAAAAAAAAAATCTGTAGTGAAGAAAGAGTACTAAGACAACAATTGCGAATTTCAATTTTTTTACTTTGTATGCAAGAAAAAATCCGTTTGCGCAAGCTTGCAGTCACCAAAACACGACTCATAGACTCAAGATTTTTGTTTAGTTTAATTTTCAGAGAGCCAAATAAAAACTAAAACATCTAGATAAAATATTCAATATATGGCAATTCCATATAATAAAGGTAATAGAGATCAATTTCTGAGTCAAGAATCATAATTAATAAATTTGGTAACTTATTAAAGTGTTTCTTACCAGGCATTGGTGGTGGTGGTGGTCCGCCCATACCAGGCATAGGTGGCGGCGGTGGTCCGCCCATTCCAGGCATTGGAGGCGGCGGTGGTCCACCCATACCAGGCATTGGAGGCGGCGGTGGTCCGCCGCCAGGCATTGGAGGTGGCGGAGGTCCACCCAGGGGCGGTATATTAATTTTTCCAACCAAACTGGGATCGAGTTTCCCGTCCCCTGCAGGATTAGCCACCCCCATCAGTTTGGCCAATTTGGCTTCAGCTTCTTCTTTCGCGACCAGCGCTTTATCAAGGTGCTTTTGTAGTTCTTGAACTTTTTCCGTGTCTACTGAAGCAGGTCTTTCTGGAATTTTTTTAAATTGAATTCAATTGATATTAATTGCTGCAAGTTCAATAATCACCTTTTAATTCGTCTAATAAAGGCTGCAAGTCAATATCGATATGGTTCTTTTTGAAATCAGGATCTAAGCCTGATTTGTGCAAGACTATTTGTGAAACAACTTCTTCGATTATTTTGAAATAAGCTGGCCTAAAGAAAATCAATACAATTAAGCACACTTTAATAATAATAATACTAAAAACATTTACCTAATATTAAAATCATCTCTAATAAATAACAAATGTTGTAAAACACTTAAAAAGTACGGTTCACAAGAGGTTTCCAATGTGACATTTTTCAAAACTTCAAAACAGTCTTGCATATCGTCCATATCAATTCGGACCTTATCAAATCTTTCGTGTAACTCGTCGGCATCGGCTTCTTTTTGATTTTCGAAAATGTCGAATTGTGTTTTGATGACTGGGTTTGCTTCATTTTTTAATTCGGCTAAAAAGTTATACAAGGGTGAAATTCGTCAAAGAACTATGTTTTTAATTATATTTACCTAATTTATCAAAAAGTCCATTTCTTACTATTTCATTTCTCAAGTGCATACGGAATTCAAAATCGTCGGTTTCCGATAATAAGGCATTTATGAATTGTAGGCACATACTCTGGAAAAAATAGATAAATATAGCGTTAATGCATATGTCTTAAGCATTTTTATTCAAGGATATAGTCACATCAATCGTTTGAGACTGCTTCCCAATAATCTGGCAATTTTCCTATTCACCACCAAAAGAAATCTGATTTTGGAAGGAAAAAGTGTAACGTCATGAAAGGAGATTCTACTGAAGTTGTTCAATATAGACATAGGAATCTGAAATTTTCAGGGAATCTTCAGACAAAGATGTTTTTTCATATATCAGACGAAATCTCAAGTCTGACATATCTGCAATAACTCTAAGAGACGAAAACACTAATAGTCCAGAGCAATTAGGGGTCAGGGGTAAACAAATTAGCTTAAAGCTGCCACCACCATTATTCGATAGCTTTTAGGTTCCCTATGAACATACTAAAAGTCCCCATTGCTGTGATTGGTGGAACATCCCCAAATCTGGTCCGCCATCTTGATTTCTCCCACTTTTTCCTAGTTTGCTTCAATATCTTGGAAACAAATTGAAATTTGAAAAATTTTCAAGAGAACTGGATATAAAATAGGTCTGTGCCCTACTCGACACGTTACTGGTTGCTTCAAAAATTTCAGATTAGCTGAAATGTTCGATACCTAAGAAGAATTCTTATTTCCAGGATGTAACTCTTCGAAAACTAGCCCGCGACCTTACATTTTTAACCAAATTCTAGAGGACTCAGATTATTTCCTAACCATTGTTGTATTTGGTAATACACCCTTGGGCATTGATATTTTAAAGAGTCTGGGGAGCAGACAGGCGGAGCTCCGGAGGATGCCGAACGATATTCCGCGTGCGGCTAAATTCATCAAAATGTTGCACTGGTTCTAATGAGTTCGTTTGGGATCCGCTAAAGCGCCTCACCTAATTTGCATTCCGTGCGCAATCGTCCCCTGCCCTTTTTGGGTGATAAACCGAAGATATCAGTGTCTTTGGTAGCAGGTACTTACCTTCCGCACGTAATTGACCTGTAAGCGTTAGTTCAAAGTTTGATTTTAATTTTAAATTTTGACGGGCGATAATGCTGTTATATTTATGAAATCTTAAGTCATTAAGCGTCTTGGATATTTTATTTTTGCCATATATAAGTAAAAGAAATTTTTCGCCAATTTTAATTTCTTCTCCATCGGCCTTTACATTCTGGAAAACAGAAATTAATAAGTGAATAGTTTTATTGCCTGCTAGAACTTTAATAGGCTTTAATTTTCCTTGTTTATACATTGAAGATGTGGTATCACAACCGTCAATTGCATGGACAAATAAAATTTCACTTACTACTGGCCCTAAAGCTTCTTGTAAATGTAAAATTTCGGTAATTTTGATTGCTTGACTTTTCCGGGCCGTAATATAAAAACGTTGTTATCTTTAACAGAATAGAGCAGTAATACCATGAAGTACGTGTCTTGGCCAACAACTGTCATAGAAGTCTCCTTTCCCTCAAATTCATAGCTGTTTGGACAATTAAAACATCTGCATCTGCTTCTGCTTGTTTTACACTTATGTAATATGAGGCTTTCTATTAACAGTATGAACATTTTTTTATTGTTGGTGTTACTGAAAAAAATTCTTGATTTACTGTTGCAACTACTGAGTCAGATATCACAATATCAGCACAAGATAATTTATTAGTTTTCCGCATTTGTTCCAAAGATTAAGTACTAGGTAAACCATCATACCATTCCCATCAAAAACCACTGTACAATTTGAACCATAATGAAACTAGATGAACTTTTCATATTGCTCAGAAATCTCTGCATAGGTGACTATGTGAAGTATGTATCCATCCATTGGAACACTAGACAACGGCTTGCATTTCATGTCCATGTCCGTCAAAAGAGCTGTATATGTATATAAAATATTAACAAAAATAGTTAGCCGAAATGGCATAGGTGAATGTAATATTTTCAATATTTGAAGGTCTGCGAAGACTACCACAGTTTGTGAATGTTGTTATATTGCATCGCCCTAATAGAAAAAATATATTTAGAAACTTTTTTGTCTCTTGACAATTTTTGATAAACCTTATAGTGTTGGAGATATTAGTACAAATTTTATAAAAGAACGAGAATTCAAGATGGCGGACTGGATTTGGGGATGTTCCACCAATCACAGCAACGGGGACTTTTAGTATATTCATAGGGACACTAAAACTATCGAACACGAGTGATGGCAACTTTAAGCTAATTTATTGAGGTCAAGCATATACCATTTCATAAGTGCACCGGAGTATAAGGAAATAATTACTGACAATTTAATTACTGCAGAGGTGTTTGCGGGTCACTTTGAAAAAGTGTTTACTCGAGAACCTCTGGCCAACATGATGAAACTACCTGCCTAAGATTCCAGTCCAGGTCCCGACATTATTCAAACCATATTTTTAAAACAATTTGCAAAATCTATCAGCTCGCCCCTTGCTCACGCAATGACTAACCTGATGAGTAGTAAGACAGTACCAGAAAAATGGAAAGAAGTCTACATCATTCCAATTTATAAAAAAGGCGACAAGCTTTATCCAAAAAATTATCGTCCCATAAGTCTTACTTGTAACGCTTGCAAATCCATGGAAAAAGTTGTAGCCATACAACTGACAAACTTTCTAATGGAAAACAACATCCCTCCGTTCTTAACAGCAAGGATTTTTGCCTAAAAGATCGACTGAAACCAACCTACTAACATGCTTCGATACATGGATAAAGATGAATGACGAGAGACAACCTATTGACATCGTATACCTGGACTTTGAGAAGGCTTTCGATAAGCTTCCAATCAGTCGTATATTATACAAACTTCAGCACTATGGAATATGTAACAATGTATTGGGTTGGATACGAGACTTTCTTAAACGTATCAGGTTACAGTTAACGGGGTTTATTCGACCCGACATGGTTTATAGTTGAGTACCGCAAGACTCTGTACTTGGTCCAATACTCTTTCTTATATACAGTGTGTATCAACCAAATGGAATAAATTCGATAATAAATAAATGGGGTACTTTTCGAAAAAACGCTCGAACACGTCAATTTTGTTTTTTTTGCTTGAGATTTTTTCACATCAATTTTTTTATACAGGGTGTCCCGAAATCAGTTGTACCGTTATCAACTTTAGTTTTTTTAATTGTAACCTATGTATATTATGACATTTCTGGATTCTGCGGAAAATTCTAGACATATTTCATGTACAATGTCATATATGTAGGTTATTTTTATCGTTACGTCCAAAGGTATAAATGAAAGGCCCAGGGTACTTTTATGGAATTAAATTTAATAGGTAGTGATGGTTGAAATGAAAGTTATACGTCACAATTTCGGGTAGGTGAAACAAGTCACGTCACAGCAACTACTTAGCTTCTTTACAACGTTTTTACAATCAAAAATACACACCAAATAACACCTTATTTGGTATATAGCTGCGTCTCAGCTTCGTCACACACTTTTGGTTACGTCTAAACTAAAAGATTATTGGCAAAATGGCCGTCAACCACACAACGAAAATCGAAATAAATCGCTCGTCTTCGGTAAGTACGCGCCCCAACAAACGTCTTTTGTCACTTCTCGTACCCTTCTCCCTCGAGTCCCCGAGCGGTGAGCCACTTGACCTAGTTTCGCTGTTCCCCTCCCTTCGTTCTATTAATAGCCTACCTGCTGCGTCGATATACAAATAATCCCTTATAATATTGTATTTTAAATCGCTTGATAGAAGTAAAATGAAAAGAAATAGACTGATTGAACAAAATAAAAAAAATACTACACTCGGCCAACCTGACTATGAATCCGACTCGGATTCGCTCGCGTTGTCAACCCAAGGCTTTAGGTATTCAGCGCATGTGCTTGTCTTCATGGGGCCTTCATGATGTCCAACTTTTACGACATTATCTTTACTTTGTCAATCTCATAAGGACCTAAGTATTTTTTCCTCAACTTGATTCCTGGCCCTAGTTGTGTTCGCTTGATCGCCACTAAGTCTCCTTTCTTATAGGATTTCGGAGTCCGTCTCCTCAAGTTGTATCTTTTGCGATTTTCTTCCTGAACTTCCAATATGTTCCTTCTGCTTTCCTTTCTTAGTTCTTCCCGTTGTTCATTAAATTGACTTACAGTTTCTTTTTCCAACATCTCCTTGATTGCCAAATCTTCCTTATTTTTCATCTTAATACCGAACAAAACTTCGAACGGAGTCATATCTATGCTTCGCTGATAAGTACAATTCAGAGCCTTTTGTACTCTTTCCACGTATTTAAACCATTTTGTTGGATCATCCATGCTCAATTTGGTTAGTACAGGGATTATGGTCCGATTCACTCGCTCCACTTGACCGTTGCCTCTAGGGACCCCTGTTGTAATCAAGATATGTTGTATTCCCTCGTCTTTGCAATAGTCTTCGAACTCCTGTGCCGTAAAGGCAGTTCCTCTGTCACTGATTATTCTAGAAGGATTTCCAAAATCCTTCTGTTGTCTCTTTAAACAATTTACCGGTTCCTTTGCAGTCGTCGATTTGGTTGGGTAAATCCAGGGGAATTTTGAAAAGTAATCAACTATTAACAATATATGATTGTAATTTTTGCTTGTCGAAGCCAATGGGCCAAGATGATATGGTAGGTTTGCAGCGGATACTCATTTTTAGAAATTGGGTGAAGCAATCCCTCTTTCTTTCCTTCTTTTCTACTTCCTAATATACAATATATACAATTCCGAATACATTCCTGTATTTTCTCCTTTAGCCTGGGTATGTAAAATTCTCTTCTTATCATCTCCTCTGTTTTGTTCACTGCAAAGTGTCCAACGTCATGCATTTTCCTAATGATTTCTATCGGCATTTTCTTGGGTATGACCAGTAATTCTTTAGCATCTTCATACTTATACAATATTCCATTTTTCAGAACGAAGTCATCATATTCCTCGGTTATTAATATTTGTTTAATAGCTCTTATGTGGTCATCTCTTTCTTGGGCATGCGTTATTCGTTGTATCATGCCATCTTCGGGTGTTACTTCATTTAGAGTCATCATCATCGGCGGATTGCGGCTGAGCGCATCTACATGGGCCATTCTTGTTCCTTTTCTGTGAATGCACTCAAAATCATATTCCTCTAATAGCAGAGCCCACCTCGCAACTCTAGTGGTCAAGTCCTTTTTCGCCAATGTTTTTTGGAAGGCAGAGCAGTCGGTGATAATTTTGAAATGTATTCCCAGAAGATGGACCCTAAACTTCTTGACTGCCTGTATGATAGCTAGAACCTCCAATTCATAACTATGATACTTTTCTTCTGCAGGCTTCGTCTTTTTGCTCATATAATAAATCGGGTGGAATTTATGGTCGTCGTCTAGTCTTTGCATCAAACATGCACCATATCCATGACAGCTCGCATCCGTATGCAGCTCTGTTTCGCGGCCTTGGTGGTATATTGCTAAAACTGGCTGTGTTGTTAAAAGCTCTTTTAACTTCAAAAATGCCTGCTTCTGTTGTTCTTCAAATAAAAAGGGATGTTCTTTTCTCAAGAGGTTACTTAATGGTTTGGCTACAACCGCATATGCAGGAATAAATTTCCTAAAGTAGCTGGCAAGTCCCAGAAATGATTGCACCTTTTTATGAGTTGTGGGCTGAGGAAACTTCCTTATAGCTAACGTTTTTTCATCAGACGGTTGAATCTTTCCATTTTCGATTATAAACCCCAGAAAATTAACCCTTTTCTTCAAAAACTGACACTTTCTCTTCTTGATCTCTAAGCCATATTCTTTAGCAACATTTGACACCATCTCAAGCCGTTTAAATCCTTCTTCTCCCGTTTCACTGAGCACTATCACATCATCCATGTAATATAGAGCTATGCTTTTCGCCATCAAGTCCCTGAAAATGCGACTGACGAATCTTTGAAATACCGCAGGACTGTTACACAGGCCGAAAGGACATCTCAAAAATTCGTACTGTCCATTAGGAACTACAAAGCCCGTATACTTAATCGAGTCTTCATCTATAGGCACGTGGAAAAATCCATTCTTCAGATCAATTGTACTGAAGAAATTTGCTCCCTGCAATTGGTCCATCACATCCTCTATAAGCGGTAAAGGAAACCTATCCTTTATGACGTTGCTATTTAGTTTTCGGAAATCGCAACAAATTCTTACTTGTCCATCTTTTTTCCTCACCAAGACTACAGGACTAGCAAACTCGGATGAGCTGGGCCGGATTATTCCCTCATTATTGGCAAAATGGCCGTCAACCACACAACGAAAATCGAAATAAATCGCTCGTCTTCGGTAAGTACGCGCCCCAACAAACGTCTTTTGTCACTTCTCGTACCCTTCTCCATCGAGTCCCCGAGGGGAGAGCCACTTGACCTAGTTTCGCTGTTCCCCTCCCTTCGTTCTATTAATAGCCTACCTGCTGCGTCGTTATACAAATAATCCCTTATAATATTATATTTTAAATCGCTTGATAGAAGTAAAATGAAAAGAAATAGACTGATTGAACATAATAAAAAAATACTACATATACCTATCCTCAACTGTTTCGGAAATATTGACAGTTGAAAATTGACTTTTTTGTATCTTGGACAGACTGTAAAACTTGAACGGTTAATTTTACAGTAAAACCGATCATACATTCTTGTCTCAGTTTTTCATAAGCTATCATTTGACACCAACTTTGAATTTAATCCATGATTGAAAATTTCGCCTAAATTATTATACCTACTTCGGTTAAATTCAAAGTTGCTGTCAAATAATAGCTTATGAAAATCTAGGATAGAAATGTGAAATCGGTTTTGCTGTAAAATCAACCGTTTAGCTTTTACAGTCTGTCAAATATGCAAAAAAGTCAATTTTCAACTGTCAATATTTCCGAAACAGTTGAAGATAGGTATATGACATTGTACATGAAATATGTCTAGAATTTTCCGCAGAATCCAGAAGTGTCATAATATACAGGGGGTACCATTAAAAAAACTTAAAATAATAATGGTACAGCTGTTTTCGGAACACCCTGTATAAAAAAATTGATGTGAAAAAATCTCAAGCAAAAAAACAAAATTGACGTGTTCGAGCGTTTTTTCGAAAAGTTTCCCATTTATTTATTAGCGAATTTATTCCATTTGGCTGATACACACTGTATATACGCGACCCGCCAATGATTCTCGAAACCAATGTCAGTTCCTTTGCAGATGACACCAAGCTATTTTGCAATCCCACCACCAGCAGAGAAGAGAAGACCTTAAATCTGAGCTACTGACGATATCCGAGTGGTGTGAGAACTGGTTGATGACCCTCAACGAAAACAAATGCACTGTACTCCACACTGGCACCAACAATCCTTTATATGATTACGAACTTTACGGCATAATTTTGGTATCGGGTCTTCAAAAAAAAAACCAATCAAAAATTGCTTTGAATACGAAAACGTATGTCGCTTCATTGGTTAGGATTTTTGACATGACATTTTGACATTGAAGTTCATTGACAAAATTAAAGAAAAATAGTGCTAAGACATACGTTTAAAAAACCATAGCAATCTTTGATTGGTTTTTTTTTGAAGACCCGATATCTACTGATGAACAAAGAGATCTTAGTATTGTTGTAACCAACAATTTGATACCAGAAGCAAATATAGTTCAAAATGCATCAAAAAAGCTAACTCAGTAGCTTAACTGACGAAAAAAGCATTCAAAGACTACTCGGTCACTACAACCCTACAAATATATAAGTCATTCATCAGACTCATGCTAGAGTATGCCCAGTAAGTTTGAAATCCCTACTATGCCAAGGACATTGACGCATTGAAAATAGTTCAAAGAAGAATCACTAAAATTCCGCCAGAAATTCGAGACCTCACATATGAAGACCGTTTGAAGCGGTTCAACCTAATAACTTTACCTGACAGGAGGTCAAGAGGGGATTTAATTACAACCTATAAGATTCTAAGTAATTACTACTCTGTCAACATGACTATAATAATATATACTCTAAGTGACAACCACAACCAAAAGATTGAAGAAATATAGAGATGTTTTAAACTCCTCAGAAGAAATTTCCTGTGCAACAAAGTGAGCGAAGAAACAGTCGCAGCACTCAATACCAACCAACTTATTCAAGAATAGACTGGATGGGGACCTCGGTTTATTATCCAACGCACTGGGATAGAGAAAGTACTTTCATTATTTTTCAATTATTATATATATTATAACATTTCGTCTTCAAATCTCACAATGATTCACCGTATGCAGTTTGGGCGGTCCCAAATGAGCATTCAGTCAAAATTTCAACATGGAAAAATTCAAAATTTTTAAAAAACCATATTTGTAGTAATAATATCCTGCTAAGGAAATAGGAGGAAATTTTGGTATTTTTCAATTTTTCCGCTACTCTTTTCTCAAACATTTCAACTTCAAATCTGACGATTCACAATATGGAATTTGGGCAGTCTCAAATGATAATTCTGAGTCGAATGTCAACATGTAAATACCATATGTAATAAATCAGGATGTGCTACATTATGGAATCCATACTTTATCAAAAATATTTAGATCATAGAAGGTCTGTTATCAATCACAAACCAGCCAGAGCGAATTTCATTGGTTGAAAATAGTCAGATGTTGGCGATTTGAACCAATCAAAAACGTTCTGTGAGAACAGACCTCGCAAATGCCAATAAGGAATAACCAAAATTCCAGTCGACATTTGAGAAGATGATTATGGAACAACGATTTCAAAATTAAAAATTGAAAAAAGATGCTTAAAGAATGACCTCTAAGAATGCTGAATGCCAAATGCCACATTTATGTTTTTCCAGTACTTAACCAAACATTGGAAAAGGAAAAATGTATAGAATCTCTGAGGAAAAATGTATAGAATCTTAAGTGAAAATAGAATTTTGGGCTTCTTTTGATCAAGCAATGGACAATATCAGTGGTCCCTTTTACAGTTGTGTTTACAGAAAAATTAGAGTGATTTACCATAAATTTATAAATTTTCTTCTTAGTCCATTTTGAAAATTTCGACACTTTTATTTTCCCCATTTTAACTATGAAACTTAACAATAAACACTAATTCACGAACGATTTTTAAAATTCTAAACTAAACAAACACTAATGTCCCTTAAAAATAAATAATGTCCACGTTGGCGCCAGAGTATTTTCAATATGAGGGCCATAGAGGTTAAACACTAACAAAAAAATTATCGTTAAACCAGTACGAAATTTTTTGTTTTTTAGCACAATCGCGCTGATCATAGTAATCAAATCACATTTAAACTAAAAGTCGATACACTAAAAATGCACAAGAACACTACTGTTGACTGATTTTATCCAAATTAAATGTTATTCTTGTTTCAATATCGTCAGGACACGAGTAAATAACTTTTAGTTTTTGTCCCCATTATCAGTCAATGAGATATTTTAGTTTGTTTACAGATATCAGCTCGTTTTATCTGCATATTCTTCAATGACAATAAGTTCGCTTTTATTAAGCAATCTAAATTTGGCCTAGAGGCCAACAGAAATTCTCATAATTAAATTTCACTTAAAATTAATTACTACAATTAGAATTTTCTCAAAAAAAAAAACAATTACCTGTAAATCTGCATTATCGCTTTTAACGATTCCATTGACTATTGGTAAAAATCGTTCCCTTTTTTCATGTTCTGCTACTTTAGTTATAGCCAAAAGTACCTTGTTGGCCCCGTCTTCTTCGCCTTCGCTTGTAATCAAACACATTGGGGCGAGAATCTACAACACAATCAATAATTGAAACATTTAAATATAGGATAATTAAATCAAGTATTTACCTTTAAAGCTTGTATTGTAACATGGGGTTTTTCGTGATCTAAACATTTGGCCACAGTTTCATGTCCTTTAGTGTTCGACAAAAAAAGTTTAATCCCTGTAGTGTTGTTCATGAATTTTTCCAAACACCTGAGACATTCGTTTTGGAGTTTAACGTCTTTGCTAAAAAACTATATTTGAAAAAATCTGTTTCTGCAAAAACCAATTATTACTTTTTGAGCCCAACATCTAAAACTTTCAAAATCAGCTGCATTCCATGACTGCCAAACTTTTCAACCCAACTCAATGGGTTGTTGGCCAAAGCCACCCTCAAGCTTTCTGTACAACTTTGTAGCTTGTTCAATTGTGTGTACTCGCTACGTAGGTGCGTATCCAAATAGTTATGATAATCTTCAGGATCATTGAATCTGTTACCCGATTCAGTTTTATTTTTATTATTCATAACCAGCATGTAACGTTTTTGCTCCAGCGGCAAATTGCGAAGTGGTTTCTTCTTGTCATCGTTCAAGTTCATATCACTCTATATGCAAGAGAAAATTAGTGAAATATTTATGTTACTGTTTGTAACTTTATTACCAAGAGTTCCTCATACTTAAGATTAATTTCTTTTTCCGACATTGATGCCAACTTTTGGGCATAGTCTTCGTCCAATGAAATATCGGTCTCCGAGTTCGGACCCAATTGCGAAGTGGGTCTGGGACCGGTAGGCTTTCGCCCAGTTCCGGCTTTGAACCATGATTCCAACTAGAAAAGAATAATTATTTTAAGTTTTAATTTCCAATTTAAATGCTCGACATTATTCAAATCGGTTTCAAATTTGGATGTGAGTAATATAAAACATAACGGTGCAAAAATGTGCAGTTAGTAACATGTATCGATGTAATTATGTGAAAAAATTCATTAAGTAATTATTTAATTCCAAACTACATATCTATATAGATTATTTCATTAATTACAAACCACAACAAATATTCAGACTCATTACTAAATTCTTGTCTTTAAATGGATTTCGTATAATACGAATCAAGGTCATTAAGAGAAGAAGAGAGCATAGCATAACTCGTTATTCAATAGGATAACACCTTTAACGAGCCCGCCTCACCTAGTTATTCATTATTGTGTGGAAAAAACTACTTAGCAAGTCGCGTGTAAATAACATTTTAAAATGTCGCTGGAGCATGGGATAGGTGCATAAAGTCAAATAGATGCCTACCTATAGTAAATTTTTTGGGTCAACAGAGGTACCTTTGAGAAGATATAGACAAATAATAAGAAGAATGTTAACGTGAAAAGTTTATCTAAGATCAGAACTTGATGACTATAATATTCAACAAGAAAAGTTTAAGAAGGTAACAAGTTTTTTAGGATAGAGTAGGTACTCAATACAATAATTAGAAAAAAGTTCTATTAAACATGGATCTGTAAAAGCTCCCTTTGGAGATACTGTGTATTAAAGTTTCGTTTGCTTATATCCTAAAGAATTTTTCAAAAACTTTTGAAAATGACAAACTAGGCACAGACAACTCGACACTGTAATATTTTTTTTGCAAAGTCCTATCAAAAACAGAACTGACACTTTTTTTTTCAGAATTCTAAAGTCTTCAAACCGCATTTTCAAATATCAAAAGATTTTTTAACCTCGGAAGTCCAATGATAAAGGTTCAAGAGATCTAGCACAGCATATAGGCTAAAATTTACGTCATTCGTAAATTTAGATTCTATAGAAAGACACAGAACTTTTTATTTATTTATATCTCAACCAAATACAAAAAGACAACAAAACATTAGTTTGTATTAGTTTTTCAATGTTCAAGGATGTTTAATTTAGGCTATTCTGATAAAGACAAACATAAAAGTGAGCAAACACAAGAACTATTGCTCATGATATGAGCGAATATTCAAGAATTCTTTCCATTGTGTGATATACATAGACAAGCATTTCTAGAGATAAATGGTTTTGTATAAAAAGCGCATAGGTAGATTTCAAAAATCAGTTTAAAAAATAATTGTCAAGTTAGTTGTTAGAAACAAGAGTAGTGGACCCTCGGAATCCCTCAGAATTTTTCAGCTTCAATTATTAGAAAAACGGAAGATAGTTTTGAATAGATAGTTGTCTTATGTAGAAGTTTTGGAGTTGAATTTATAGTGGGTGGTGTTTATATTCCACCTGGATCACCAGAGAAACACTACATTATTCACTGTTTAGCTGTTTGTAGCACAATAATATGTACCAAGGGCTTGAGGTTCCTAATATTAGAAATGTCTTTCTAGACTTGTTATTTAAAAAAAATGATAGTGTTTAGATGATCATTTCTTTTCAGTCTATGGGGACTTATTACTTTTTGGTAATCACAATATTAAGTCTGTTTTAACAGAATTTTATACAATTTTAAATTATGGAATTCAGTGTTTCGTACCATACAAAAGATTCAAGACGTCAAACTTTCCACCTTATTTTTCCAGTGAGTTGAGAAGATTGATTTTACTCAAAAAGAGCAAACCGAAAAAATATCAAATACTTAACTGGTAATAAGGAAATACTTTGAATTTAGCGAACTCAGCAAGGTGTGAGTGACTGAGTAAAGAATGTTACAAAAACGATCTGATGTGGTCTTGAAACAATGCAGATACTCTTCCTCTCAGCCTTTATATAAACTCTTTAACCTGTCCTTAATAAACATCATTTTTTCCAGAAATCTGGAAGAAAAGCTGTATTTCACATTTTTCTAAATCAGGTCAAAAGGATGATATCAAAAATCACCGCAGTGTATCTAATCAGTCTTCTATCCTAAAGGTTTTTTATAGCTCGATGTACACATACTTTTAAACTGGAAATGTGAAAAAAACCTTTTTGATGAGCAACATGGATTTACGGGGGGTGGGTCCAGACTGCCCAATTTACTCATCTACCACAGTAAATTGACAGATGCTTTGCAAAGGGAATACCAGGTGTATGCTGTGTATGCTGACTTCTCCAAAGTAATTGACAGAGTCAATCATGATTTGCTTATTAGTGAGTTGATAATTTTGGGTTTTTCCGAGGGGTGTGACACTCCTGAAATGATGTACACATTGTACAAACTCACATAAATCGAAAGAAATCATTGAAATCTGTAAAATTAAGTATATCTGAAAAATCAATCAAATTCAAGAAAATCTTTGCAAAATCATCACAAATCACATACCGAGTTACATACAATTTGTTGAAATCCTGAAATCATCGTTTTCTATAAGGCAGTGCCTCTACCAATAAAATATCCAAAATTCGCGCCTTTTTTGTTTTTTTGTTTTATTTTAACCCAATTATTATACATAGTCTATACACAACCAATACACTATCAGTCACGATCACAATCGTAACAGAATCAGTCACAATCATTACACAATGATTCACAATCGTACACAATCACCTCGACAATCACTCACAATTGTACACAATCACTCACAATCTTAGCAAATTCCCTTAAGGCGGCAACAGCATCCCGGTGTTTTTTTGGTTGCCTATCTTTTGAAAAAGGTCTTGCTATGGATTAGGTATTTGCCAAATTAAGAAATAACCACGTTAAAAATTGAAAAATTGTTCTATTTTACCATGTATCTCGGGAACGAAATAAGGTGGCACAATTCTGTTTGCGGCATTCAAAGTTTCACGAAAAATTGATACAGGGTCGCGAAAACCGCAAAGTTTTATCTCTGCTGGTTGCCGAGAAACCCTGTGTTTACAAGTAATTTGGCACACAGTGTACATTGGGGTGCTGTTGGCCCCTTAAAGATTTTGGAATTTGGCAGTCGGTGACCTCGGTGTACACATTTTGGGTCAGCTATTCACCCCTCGCCTATACCCAAGATAGAAATTGCTCACAGCACAGCATGGTGTAATTTCTGCGAAGCGGTAGTATTGGCATAGTAAAACATCCCGACTTCATTATTATGCCACTAACTTGATATAGCGTTGCTTATGGCATAAGTCATTAACAATAATTTCGATCTCGACGTATAGCAAATGATACTGAAATCATGAAATCCGTGTGAATCTAGTAAAATCACATTTACTCTTGCGAAATCAATGTAAATCTGGGAAAATGAATGGAATTAACAAAATCAAGTGAAATCAGCAAAATCAAATAATTAGGTACCTCAGGAAATCGTTGAAATTAAGGGAAATCGTGAAACTTTACCAAAGCTAATTTCTGATTTCATTGATTTCCAATAAAGTAATGAAAATCAAAAATCAGGTGTACAAAATACTTGGAAGTGTCACACCCCTCGGGTTTTTCTGAGAGATTGGCAAACTGGTTTCTTAGTTTTCTTAGGGATAGAAAGCTCATTGTTAAAATTGCTAATTTTTTATTGAAGGTTATTAGAGTCATTTCTGGTGTGCCCCAGAGGGGCAACTTCTCCCCTATTGTTCAGCCTGTTTGTCAATGAACTAAAAGATCAAGTTAATTAATAACTGTGAATTTTTGAAGTTTGCAGATGACTTTAAGCTGTTTCTAATAATCCTCAATGAACTTGACTTCGAAGTGATTTGATAGTCTATCTGACTACTGGTGTAAGAAAACTTATTAGATGTAAATGTTGACAAATGTTTCCGGAGTTCATTTACTCGGAAGAAAAATAAAATCGAATCTTCCTACTTATTTATAAATGGTCACCAACTGAAAATAAGTGAGGTAGCTAAGGCATTAGAGGTACTATTTCATTCTTGTTTAGATTTTACTAACCATATGGATCAACTGGTTGTAAAGCCCAACAGAATGTTGGGCTTCACTCTTAAAAATTGTCAGGATTTATCTTTGGACGTGCTGAGATCTGTGTATTGTGGATTAGTTAGGTCTCAGCTTGAATATGGCTCAATTATTCGGACTATGCAATATATTGTTCACAACACCATGCTAGAAAGTGTTTAGCACAAATTTTCAAAGTTTTGCAATTATAAATATAATTTAGGATTTATTGCTAATGTTTTAAACGAGGTTTTAAATTATTTCAAGTTTCTTCCAATGGAAAGGAGAAGGATTATGATGATGTGTGTGTTATTTTTAGGCTATTGAATGTAATGATTTCATCTCCTTTTTCAGTTTCTCAAGTCAAATTTGTTGTTCCGCAAAGAATGATGAGGTAAAATAATTTATTCTCTGTTGGGTTCCATAGGACTAACTACTATGGGAGACATTGTTTTGTGGATTTTTCAAACAGGGAGAATGGGATAGATGTTTTTAATGGCTCGTTTCAATTCTTTCAAAAAAAAACTAGAAGGGGTACTTTGAACTGAATTATGAATTTTATATGGATAAGCTAGTGAATTTTTTTTTTTGTACCTAATTATTTTTGTAATAGGGTTTTCCCGTTTATTAATAAAATAAATAAATAAATTTAGTGTCAGAAGTAGGATAATTAGCTAAACAATTATTAGTGGAATAATTTGATCTGAATAGTGAAATATCGAGGGAAATATCTAGAGGAACGAGTGGCTAAGTTCAAGCTAATTAGTAGATCAATGTGAGCTAAATACTACCTACAAACAATAAGTGAACTTCAGTAGAAATGAAATGGGACTGGATTTGATACCAAAAATCGAGTTGACAAATAGATTTTCTGAAAAATTCCATATCACTCTATAGTGTCCTGTTTGGAAACCAGAAGTTCAAGGAATAATTTTTCTAGACATTCAATCATGTTCTATTCCAAAATTACACAAGGTATGGTAAATATACAACAGGAAAATGCCGAAATGAAGCAAG